AGCAGCTGCTGCTTTGAATGCCAATCATATAATCACCAGTTTTTTTTCTGGTTGATTAAAACATCTAAAATTCCGCCTTGATTCAATGATGACCATGATGATGATGATTAACACAACCATCACCTGACCAGTATCCGATGGTTAATAATAACCCGGTGTTGGAAATCCGTGTTGTCGAAGAAAAGAAATTAAGTTATTTAAAAAAATATGATGATGAGCTTCCTGGACTCAATCTTGGGTTAATAAGTTGATTGTATTTGTGTGTTTCCTTTAACACTTGATTATCATCATCAGCAATTTTTGATGATGATAATAAATGGTTGATGGTTAATGATGAACTTTTTAAGAAAAAATCCTTTTTTTTTGTTTCCCATTAATGCGCGAATTGAAATTCCAAGAAAAATATTCAAAAGAAGCTATGAATGAAATTATGATGATGATGAGGATTTAAGAAAAACACATTTTCGGGCGTAATCCATATATTCAAACGACGATGATCATTATTAATTTTTATGAATTTATTAAGTGTATGGGCGAGATAGAGAGAGAGAGAGAGAGAGAGAGAGAGAATCATTTTGAATTTGAATAATGATTGTTGGCTATTTGAACACAAACAATCAATCTCGACACCTTTTTTTTTCGATTTATTTCTTTCTCTCAATTCGTTCGTTCTTTCCTTTGATCTTAATTTTTTTGTTGTTTGTTCACCGCCTTTTAATAATGATCCTGTTGATGATCAAAAAAAAAAAAAAATTGACAAAATTGTTAATGGTAAAATCATGGTGTTTGTCTGTGTGTGTGTGTGTGTGTGGCTAATGATTTTTCTTAGCTTTAGATTTTCAAATGTAAATTCATTCATTCATTCATTGTGTTTCCTCTCTGTGTGGAAATAGTCGAACAACAACAACAAAAGAAAGGCATTAATCATTTTAGAAAATGTTTGCTTTGAATAAAAAAAACAACTAATCGAATGAATGAATTATCGATTCAAATCATCATTGTCGAATTTGAATTTATAAGTAATGTCACCGATTTCTACCTTACTAGGTTTTGTTTTTGTTTTGTTTTTTCATTAAATTAAAACAATATAGATCCTATTCTCGATATATACCACAAACAACAAACTTTTATGAATGACCCCGCCTTGATTTGAAATTCATTCTTGGTGTTTTTTTTGAGATGATAATAAATAAATCTGTGAGATTGAAAATCTCAAAAAAAACACAATCTGTGCGAATGTAAATGTGATGGGCGGTAATCATTATTTTTCAAACGAAAAGTAATTCACAATCGATCGATAGATCGATTGTTTTTGCAAAAAAAAAATCGATTATTTTTTTTTTGATTATTTTTTGTGTGGGTGGGAAACAGAGAATAATTCTGCTGTTGTTGTTTCCAATATGGTGGGTGGGGGAACGGGGAATCAAGGGGGAAAAACAACAACTTAATTTTAAAAAAGCAATTTTTTTCCCGACCTTTTTTCAGGTGAAAAAATTGACTGAATGAAGGTTATAATTTGAATGAAAACAATTGATTTTTTCTTTGGTACCGAATCATCCCTGATCATCATCCCATATCAATTATATAGATTGAAAAAACCAGAAAACCCGAAGAGAAAAAAACCTATACCCATTATTATTAAGCGACCAGAAAATTGACCACCACAACAACCACTGTTTGTATATTTGACTGTTACTGGAAAATGCAATTATCAATTGGTTTGGTGACATTTTTTTTCTCTTCTTTTTTTGGAAACACAAAAAATTTCAGGAAAAAAAACTAATTTTCTTTCAAATTGTAATTGGTCTCTGTAATCTACACAAACCATCTAATTAGCTTTCTCTGTGTTTTACAAACGTAAAAGACAGCAGCAGCAGCAGAGATGAAATTATTTTTTTTTCCTATATTTCATTCACCTAAAAAATGTCCATATGTGAATGGAATTAAAATATCCATTTTTTTCCCAAAAAAACATAATGATAATGATGATATTGGGTGGTATTCTAATTTATTCGACATTGTTGTTGATGATTACAATCAAATAATAATTATTTTTTTTCATTTTTTTTTGTAAAAGTTTTTTTTCCTGTTACACAAATCATGATATCTCGAAATTGGATCCTGATAATGATAATGGTCCACCAAAACGAAAAAATTATTAATTATTATTTTGTTTTCCGTGGAAAAAAAATCTTTTTTGATATCTTTATTATCGAATGAATGAGTGAGAGAGAAAGGCAGAAAAAACAACGAGAGAATTAAGGTAAATGTCTTTATTATGATGATGATGACAAATTCAATTTACGAAACAAAATTGAAATTGAAATTGAAATCGACACACCTTGTATCGAAATAGACTCAAAGAGAGAATCGGTCGATTGACCAACCGAATTATTATTATTATTATTATCATTTTTTTCCGATGATATTCGATTATGATGATAATTCAATTATCTTTTTTATGGTGAAAGAGAGAGACAAAAAAAAATGATTTCAGTGGACACGTAGTATATAATTCTTATGTTTTATCAACCGAATAATTTTTTTCTTTCTTTTCAAGATTGTAAAAGTGTCAATTTTGTTGTTGTTGTTTTTTTATTCGATTGTCGGTGGTTCGTGATCTTCTTATTTTTCGTTTTGATTAAATTTTTTGTCGCTTCTTGATATTCTCTATATGTATGGCTATAGTAAACCAGTAGCCAAAATGAACATACAGGCCCACAGAGCGATAACATTTGATTTGATGGCGGTTTCGTTTTATCATCGATCGGTCAATCGATTGATCGATCCGGATGACCGCCATTCTTTTGTGTATATGTTTGTGGGTGGGTGGATGGATAGATGTTACAACATGCCGCCATTATTATTATCAGATTGGTCGGTGAAAGAAAACAACAACTAAAGTGATGGTGGTGGTGGTGGTGGTAGTGATAAAGAAAATTAAAAGGCGCACAACACATAAAGATTATTAGTTTAGTTTAGTTTAATAATAATGATAATAATAATCATTATTATCGTTCGATTTCTATTTCTACCCAAAATGTTTCTTTTTCCTCTGCCTATATCAACCTTTGCTCAAAGATGAAACATCGCCGATTTGAAATAAAGCCGAATCCAACGATAATAATGTAGATCATCATCATCATCATCATCCAATGATGGTGGCCTTCATTTGATGATAATGGCCATCATCATCATCGCATTGTCATTGTTGTTTGTAATTCAATGATATTATTTTTGGGGATATTCATCATCATCATCATTTCCATTATCACCATCATCATCATCAAATAACCATAACGATAATCATCATTATGATTATCATCATCACGAATTTCATTCCCAACAACAACAACAACAACAAGAAAGCCGGTCTGGCCTCTCAAATCTTTCGGGTATCTTTTTCGTTGAGTCAGAAAGAAAATTTTCATTCATTTTTTCTTTCCAATTCTAACCAACAAACCAAACATTTAAATGAATTCAATTTTTTGATAAAAGCTGCTGTTCAAATGATGAAAGAAGAGGCAACCCGAATTCTCAAGATTCTTGATGTGAAAAAAAAATCTTTACATCCATAAAAAAGAAAACGTTTCCATCGATAGATGATGATGATGATGACAATAACATTACTATTTTTATATTAAAATCAGTGGTAAATGAAAAACAAAATTTTGAATTGAATTTTGAATTTTGAAAAGAAAAAACCGAAAGAAGAAGAAGAAGAAAACGATTTGAACTTTGCAATATCCATTCCATAATAATAATAAGGTTGATGGTGGTGGTTTCCCTATAATAATCATAATAATGATAATAACTTTATTATTATAACCACCAACCAAAACACACACACACACACATAGTTTTTTTTTTCATTCTGCTACAAATACCAAGACCAGATAGAATCAAAAAATGTAATCGAAATGGTGAAATAACATGGTCAATGTCCAATGTGTGTGTGTGTGCGTGTGATCATCATTTTCAATTGATTTTTATTTTTCTTCGATGATTCTGTAATCTATGTGGTTGGTTGGTTGATTGTCGGTAAAAATTTGTCTATTTCGACAGTGTAATGCATACTTTATAATCATTGGGTTTGTTCTGTTGTTGTTTGGTTGGTTGGTTGGAAAATAATTCAATTTACCACCCTTAAAAATGTTAATAATTCATTTGGTTTGGTTTCGGAATCATCAATTTCAATCGTGATCTTTTTTTTTCTTGAAAATTATTATCATTGTTGTTGTTGTTGGTGTTCACAATCACAGACATTTAAATTATTTCTTCTTCTTCGTTTTTTTTTCGGTCGAAATAATCTTTGAATTGAAAACAAAGTCCAAAACATAGTGTCGAAGTTTTCGTTGTAGTCGTCGAAATTTGGTTACAATATCAATAATTTGTATTTTATAATCAAATCAAATTAATTGAAAAAGAAAAATAACAATCTTTTTTTTTTCTTCGGTGAAAGAAGCTAGACTTGTTCAAGCGAAAAAAAAGAAAAAGAAAAATTTGATTATTATCTTCTGTAATAATAATAATATGGGAATATCAATTGATTTGTCTCACCAGATATTTTTTCGTTTGTCGTGAATAAATTTCAAATTTGCATGGCAATTTCGGTTCGATTTTTTTCGCTGATTGATTCGAAAAATGATGAGAAAATTGAAATAATGTCTTTATTAGAAGACTTAATCAAATCATTATTGATGATGGTGATGGTGGTGTGAATCGATTTTGGAAATCTTTGTAGAAATTTGAACAAACAAACAAACAAACAATTCAATTGTTTCGGGTAAATTTATCTTATCAAATCGAAAAAAAATATTAATTAAATCATCAAAATTGATTGATTTTTTTCAAATTTGATCATTCGATTTGGTTGAACATAAAATCAACAATTTGTTTTTTGATTATCGATCGAACGATAATCGATTTCGATGATCGAACGCGGATCAAATTTCGAATGTTTTTTTTCGAATTTCGAATCTTTTTTTTTTGAAAACGGGCTGTTCATATAGCATGTTTTCTTTGAGGATTATCATATGTTGTCTTTGTTTATCATTTTTTTTGAAAAACTATTTTTTTTTAATTTTTTTTCGAAATTAGCAATGACAGTGGCGAGAATTTGATTTGTTTTCCGATAAAATCGATAATGGAACAAAAGAAATCAACCACTGTTGCTACTGCTGATGATGAAATGAGTTCATTAGAATGGATCGAATTACAGAAAACAATCGATGATTATAGTAAAACGGAAACATTTTTTCAAAAAGCTAAACGACGAACATTGGAAAATCCTATTGCACCGTTAGGTTTGTTCTGATGATTTATCTTTTACAAAAAAAAAACAACTAATTCTAATCCAATCCAAAATAGGTTTTATTGGTGCCTGTGGTTTTTTGGGATTCGGTTTACGTGCATTAAATCGTGGTGATTCTCGTCAACAACAATTTATGATGAGAGGTCGTGTTATTGCACAGGCTATTGGTATTGGTTCGATTATGATTGGTCTGTGGATAGCTGCTAGAAATGAACAAAAACAACAATAAGAAATCAATGAATCTTTATTTAAAAAAATATTGATCTTTATTTGTTTTCATTTCGCAAAAATATTGTATATTTTTATTATTAAACAATCGTTATAGTTCCATCTTGATTACCGAAATATACTTTTGTTGCCATTTGTATAAATAGACCAGTTTCAACAACACCAGCAATATTATTAATTTCCAAATTTATTCGGGACCATTCTTCTGTTGAAATTGTTTCGGGAAATTTCCAATCCAATATAAAATTTGAATTATCAGTTACTAATGGACCAGCTTTTGCTTTAGCCATTCGAAGCATTGCTTCACCACCAAATTTTGATTCAATTTTCTGTTTTACTAACATATAACTCATTGGAATAACTTCAATCGGTAAACCTTTTTTCCATTGTTCACCTAATCGTATTGAACGTTTATTATAATCAGCAACAATAATTAATTTTTTAGCTGCTGAAGCAATAATTTTTTCCTGTGTTAAACAACCACCACCACCTTTAATAAGATTTAATTTTTCATCCACTTCATCGGCACCATCAAATGCAATATCCAAATGAGGATTACGTTCCAAATCACTCATTATTAAACCATGTTTGGTGATTAATTGCTTGGCCTTAATGGACAAAACAGAAAATTTATGCATGGTAATTACTTCATTAAATTGATGATAATTACCTGAAATGATGTTGGAACACAGGTTACCATTAAGCCATCATTTTTAATTTTTTCCGCTAAACGTTCAACAGCATAAACAATTGTTGATCCACTGCCAACACCAATGGCCATATTATTCTTTAAAAAAAGAAACAAACAAAAAATCAAGGATTTTTCAAAATAACAAAACAAAACAAAAAACCTTCAAATGATCATCAATAGCGGCGAATGCGGCCAATTTTTTTGCTTCTTCAACCATTTTGTTCTTTACAATGACAATCTCGGAATGGAATAATTTTCGCTCAATAATTTTATTGAAAAAATCAACAACAAATCCAATTCGTCGTAATGATGACATGCGATTCGATTTGCAAATGGTTATATAAGCAAACCACGCTATCCATTTTCAAAAGTCCTATTCGTTGACAAGGTTATCATCAACATTATCGACAAATCGAACACTTGCAAAAAAAAACATTCGAAACTCATTTTCAAAACCAAAACAAAACAAACAAAAAAAAATTCATTTTATTTGTGAATTTATCAAAAATTGTAATTGTCCTGAAATTTCAGACATTTTTTCCAAATTTCTTATTTCATTATTAATACATTGATTTAATTCTTTAAATAATATACGTTTTTTTGGTATTTTTCTAATATCTTCCAGATAAATATTAACCAATATTAATGATACATCTAACAGTATCCGAGTGAAACGAATATCCGTTATATTCTGGATTATAAATCGTATTATACGTTTTAGATCACGAATATTTCTACCAGCTAATGCTGATTTTATTCCACTTCTTCGAATTAATTCTTGCATAAAATTTACAACTTTATCCGGATCATTTTGTCGATAAATTCTCAGAACACGATTTAAAGCTGCTGAATATTGAAATTTTCGCAGTAAAGTTTCTTGTTTTTCTTGTCTTGAATAATTATTATGAATATTATTGGTAATTACGTTCGATGGTACAATAAACATATTTTTCTTATCCAATTTTATTGATGATTTTTTCTTCGGAATATTATTGAATAAAAATTCATCGGCCATTTCTTCATCGCCATCATCATCATTGTTATCTTGGCCACTATCATTATCAGGTTTTTGCGGAATTTTACCACCACCTTGCTTTGATCGAGATTTTTTCGATTGTGGTGATATTTTATTTATAGATAATATTCCATTATTAGTACCAACAGCTAAATATGATCCATTATAATAACAAGATAATAATTGTGATGGTGTATAATTGAATGATGCAATAACATTGAAATTAAAATCAAATATCTTCAGATGGCCATCGATTGATGCTGTTAATAAATTTGTACCATAATTATGTATACAGGTAATCGTCTTATGATGAACATTATCCAATGTTCGTAATGTTTTCCCAGCAACAACATCAAAAACCTGTATGGTTGTATCACTGGCGGATATGATTAATAAATCACGATTTGTTATCGATTCAATCGGTTGTTTATGATTATATTGATAACATGATTGTTGTGGTTGTCTATAATCCCATATTTTTACCGTATGATCATATGATCCGGTACAATAAAGTTGTCCAACATCAATCAAACATGATGCACGAATATAATCATCATGTGCATCGGATGATTCACCATTAAAATTGAATAGGATTTTTTCTTCAATAAAATCCCATAATTTAATCTGTTTATCATCACCACATGAAAACAGTTGATTCAGGCCATTAAAATCAACACAATGAACTGGTGCTGAATGTTTCATTCTAGATTGATCATTATCATTATTATTACCAAGCAAACGTAATGGTTTAGATTTTTTTGATTCCCAAATTCGAACAATTCCATCGGCCGCGCCGGTAGCAAATAATTTTTCATTTTTACGACGAAAATTTCCACCATAAAGTAATGTATGATTTGGTGATTGAAATGTACGTTTCTTTTCCGATAATTCTGTATCATATAATGTTAATTTTGTTGATGATGTTGTTAGAATTTGATTATTTCCATTTATATCAATACAATTGATTGCATTCAATTCACGATAAACAGTCGCCGGATTTACATTGTTTTTCCAGAATTTTGCCGATTCGGATAATGGTTCAATAATAGCCGGTAATGTTGATACGGTTGTCGGTTTGAATGAAGTCATTTTTTAGTTTTGTTTCTAACTTTAAATTTTTAAAAAATCCAAAGAAACAAAAAAATGCTTTCTTCAGAATATTTTTCTGTCCACGTGAATTTCAGACGTGGACCATCAATAAACACTATTACGCGAGGTTTGTTTTGATGATATTTTCAAAGTTTCAAATTTTCAAATTTTCTTTTTTCAGAAACAAAAAGCAATGTTTTTCCACAATTTTCACCGTTATTCGGTTCGACTAGAATTTCTAAGAAATTTTTCCACATTAAGAACAAATATTGCATTAAATTTATCGAAAAATTTTGAAAACGTATCACTTGTTGAATTTCCATTGAAAAAATCCTCTACATTTAATCTTTCAGAATTTATTGAAATTGAAAATGCCCATAAACGTTGCCATGAACAACATCTAGATGATAATCCAAATTATTATCCAAGTGTTACAACAATATTAAATCAAACATTATCACCTGAATCATTAGCAGCATTGAAAAAATGGGAAACAGAAAAAATCAGGTGAGTATTTGAGTTTGTTTACTGGAAACTTTGATTACAAAATGACACCATTCCACTATTAGACAATTTGGATTGGAAGGTTTCGAAAGATATCGTAAAGAATTATTTTCACGTGGTCGATGGTTACATAATAATATTCGAACATATTTGGAAACAAAAGATTCATCGCGATTAAAAATCTCAACCAAAACACAGGAAAATATGTGGAAAAGTATTGAAATGATTCTACCGAATATTAATCGATTATATGCATCCGAAATGATTGTTTATCATCCGATTCTAAAATTTCGTGGAATTCTCGATACATTAGCCGAATTTCATGAAATACCAGCATTAATTGAATGGAAAACATCGGAAAAATTACGACCAACTATTGCACATACATATGATAATCCATTACAAGCTGTTGCATATTATTCTTGTTTACAATTTAACGATAATTATCAACAACAGAAACTGAATTTGGATCCACCGTCAATGTTGGCAAAGGAAATTCTTCTAATCATTGCATATGAAGATGGTACAAAAGCAAACATTCATATTATTGAACCATCATTAAGTTTAACAATATGGCGTAAATTTTTACAAAGATTAGAAAGATATTGGTCGGTGATTGGTAAATCAAATTTATAATCTTCTTTAATTAATAAAATAAAATAAAATTCAAATTTCGAATCAATAATTTTTCCACATTAACGCGGTGATAATTTCAATTTTCAAAAATCCAAACACTAGATGGCACTGTTAGTCGTAAATTTCTTGTTACTATCCCGCTAGTATGCTGAGTATATATAGTTCATGCGTGTTTTTGTTCATGATGGTGGCTGGAAAATAGATTCTCTCTCACTTCTCACTCTTTCTTTCTCTTTCTTTTCATTCAGTTAAAAACATTCGGTGGTAAACTGTGTTGAAACAATCAATTACGACACAGCTAAAATAAAAAAACAAAATTAGAATTGAAAAAGAATGAAAAGAAAGCTTGAATTTTGTGGTGAAGAAACAAATAATAATTCTACAAATAACAATCCAAACAACAACAACCACAACGATAATCAAAACAAAATAAAAATTGATGAAAAAACAACAATGATGATGAATGATGCAACATCGTTTGTTTCTTCAGCGGATGTTTTATTGGAAAAAGAAAATCAACAACATCATAAACAACAACAGAATAAACGATCAACCACCAACACAACATTGGATAATGGTGATAAAATAAAATTTTTAGAAAATAAAAATGGTTTAGAACGTTCAACACAAATTCAACGAAATACAGTGGCAAAAAAATTGGTTATTAAAAATTTTGGTAAAGTGTTTTTTTTCCCAGTTTTTTCATTGATTCAGTTCGATAATTTTTTCGTTTCCCCCATCCCTGATTTGTAGAAAGTCCAAAATTACCGGATGATTATCTTCAACAAACATGGTCAAATTTAGAAAAGGCAATCATTGCCATACAAATGTCCAAATCGGTCAATATTTCCAATGAAGAATTATATCAAGAAGTACAGAATTTATGTTCACATAAAATGTCATCAATCATTTATCAACGATTACGTTCATTGATTGAAATTTATGTTAAAAATAGTGTTTTTCAATATGTTGAACCGATTAATGAAAATATAACATTTCTTAAAATGTTGGAAAAATGTTGGAATGCTTATTGCGATCAAATGGTAAATTTGGTTCTTTTTTTCTGTGAAAAACATTGATTTTCGTTTTCTTTTTTCTTCCCCCTTTCCGAATAGATAATGATCCGGTGTATATTTCTTTATTTGGATCGAACATATGTTCTTCAAAATTCACAAATTTCATCAATATGGTATGTAAAATGATAATGTTATACAAACCATTACTATATTCGTTTTATTCTCCAAAAACAAAAAGGGATATGGGATTGGAAATTTTTCGTGAAAATATGACCAATAATAATGTTGTGAAAATGAAATTACAAGATTTTCTTTTGGATCTAATAACACGTGAAAGAAATGGTGAAAAAATTGATTGTATTCTGATTAAAAATATTCTACGAATGTTAATCGATTTATCCATTTATATTGATCTTTTTGAATCAAAATTCCTTAAACAAACACAACAACTTTATCAAATTGAATCGGAAAGAAATATTTCAATAATGGGTATTAGTGAATATCTTTCATATATTGAAAAACGTTTGAATGAAGAAAATGAACGTTTATTATCATATTTGGATCATTCAACATCGAAAAAATTAATACCAATTGTGGAAAAAGAATTGATACAAAATCATTTGGATAAATTATTTAATATGAATTTTGAACATTTAATTGATGAACATCAATTAGATTTTCTACGGTTAGCATTCAATTTAAGTTCAAGAGTACCGGATGGTTCAAATAAATTATGTAATCAATTTAATCAATATATAAAAACAAAAGGAAAGGCTATTGTTAGTTCATCAACACTTGAACATGATAAAAATATGGTACAAGAATTATTGAATTTTAAAGATCGTATCGATGAAATTGTTTGTAAATGTTATTCAAATAGTACAAAATTTATTAATTCGGTTAAAGAAGCATTCGAATGTTTTATTAATCAACGTGCAAATAAACCAGCAGAATTGATTGCAAAATTTGTTGATTTAAAATTACGTGCCGGTAATAAAGAATGTGGTGATGAAGAATTGGAACGTTTATTGGATAAAGTAATGGTTCTATTTCGTTTTATACATGGTAAAGATATTTTCGAAGCATTTTATAAAAAAGATTTAGCCAAACGTTTATTGATTGGTAAATCAGCATCAGTTGATGCTGAAAAATCTATGTTACTCAAATTAAAACAAGAATGTGGTAGTGCATTTACATCCAAACTGGAAGGAATGTTTAAAGATATGGAACTGTCACGTGAGCTGATACCAAGTTTTAAACAACATTTACATAATTTAATGCCCGATGCATCAATCGATATGACTGTATTTATATTGACAACTGGTTATTGGCCAACATATCAACCGATGGATATTCTGATGCCACCAGAATTATTAAAATATGAAGAAACATTTAAAGAATTTTATATATCCAAACATTTAGGTCGTAAACTACAATGGCAACGTAATCTTGGACATTGTGTTTTAAGAGCTAATTTTTTAAAAGTAAGTTTTACAGAAGAATTTAAAATTTTTATATTAATCGATTTCTCTTTATATTTGTATTTGTAAATAAGGGTGCCAAAGAATTACAAGTATCATTTTTTCAGGCAATAGTTTTATTATTATTCAATGATAATAATATTGATGAATTAAGTCTTGAACAAATTCGTACAAAAACAATGATTGAAGATAGTGAATTACGTCGTACATTACAATCATTAGCATGTGGTAAAGCACGTGTTATAACCAAAATACCAAAAGGACGTGATATTATTGATAATGATCGTTTTATATTCAATAGTGAATTTATAAATAAATTATTTCGAATTAAGATAAATCAAATTCAACTGAAAGAAACGGTAAGGCAAAAATTGGTTTTTTGGTAATTCATTTCAATAAATAATTACAATTTTTTTGGGTTAATTATAGCCAGAAGAAAATGAAACAACACAGGAACGTGTATTTCAAGATCGTCAATATCAAATTGATGCTGCTGTGGTGAGAATAATGAAAACACGGAAAAAATTACCACATAATCTGCTTATTTCGGAAATTTATAATCAAATTAAATTTCCAGCTACGGTAATTATATTTAAGTGTTAATTTGATGATGAAACTAATTACTTTTGTTTTTGTTTTGTTTTGTTCAAATTAGCCAACTGAAATGAAAAAACGAATCGATAGTCTAATCGAACGTGATTATCTAATTCGTGATCGACATTCAACAAATATTTATCATTATGTTGCCTGAAGATTTGTTTGTTTTAAAATATTTAGAAATCTTAAAGTTGTAAAAGGATTTTTCTTTTGAAGGCAAATCCATATTCTTGTGAATTAATTCCGATTGTACAGAAAAAACTCCCCAAAAAAAAAGATGAATTTTAGTCACAGAACCACTGAATAATAAAATAAATAAAGCGCAAATTTTTATGTTTTTGTTTTATTTGATTCAAATAATAATAATAATCATTATCAGACGACTAAAAATTAGATTACAAATAGAAAGAAAGAATGAGAGCGGCTACTTCATTTCTTCATGGTATCAACACAATATTCATATTCTTCTTCATTCATTTATCAATTTATTCTTTTTGCTCCCAAAATTTTTCAGCTGGTACAGCTTTAAACCAAAATCCACATTCACAACGTTTTGGTTCACCAAGATGTAGCCACATATATTTGATTGCAGTTGAATCTTCTTCACATTTACAACCGATCATTCGTGAACCGGAAAATGTTTTGATTATGTTTGGATTATCTGATTTGAATGATGAAATGAAATGAAATAATGTGTAACAAGTTTTAACTGTATAAATACCTTTAGTTCCTGGTCCACGAACTTGTTCTTGAAGATCAAATGGATCTTTAATTCCTCTTGCAATTGCCATACGAACTAAACGTTCTTCACCAGTAGCATGATCATCATCTTTGGGAAAACGAACTTTTTCACGTCCAAACCAAAATGCTCGTGATGATTGAACAAAATGTTTAGATTCTGGTACACGAGCAATCGAATTCAATGTTGTTCTTAACATCATGGACATTTTGAAAAAAAAGAAATGGTGATCAATCAACAAAAAATTGTGTAAACAACCGAAAATCGAGAATGGAAAATGGAAAAAAACTTTTTATTATTAAAGACACAAATGAAGGTGATCGTCGAGCTGTGAGAGCAACACAGAAAGAGAGGAGAAGGCAACGTTCGATTGTTTGTTCATAAAATACGTTATCGATTGCTAAATTTTTCGCTGATTCATTTGTGTTCTGAGTTGAGTTTCGATTTTTAAAAAAGTTTACATTTCATCTTCTGTCATTTGAATTTTCTAAATTTGAAAACCAAAACTAACAAAAATCTAAACGAAAAAACATGGAAACAATTATTGGTATACGTTGTAAAGATTCGGTAATTATTGCAGCCGATCGTGTTAATGCTTTCAGTATCATAATGGTCAAAAATGATATGAAAAAAATCTATCAATTGAATGATAATCTTGTAATGGCCGTAAATGGTGATCCAGGTGATGCTGTACAATTTGCCGAATATATTAGTAAAAATATTCAATTGTATAAAATGCGTCATGGTTATGATCTATCACCATTGGCTTCGACCACATTTGTTCAACGTAATTTGGCCAATTATCTACGATCACGAACACCGTATCAGGTTAATTTAATGATGGCCGGTTATGATAAATTGATTGATAAACCACATTTATCATATATGGATTATCTTGCTACTACTGTTGAAGTTCCATATGGTGCACATGGTTATGGTAGTTTTTTTGTAATGGGCCTGTTGGATCGTATCTATAAACCGGATTGTACCGCTGATGAAGCTATTGAAATGATGAAAAAATGTGTAGCTGAAATACAACGTCGATTAATCATTAATCAACCGGCTTTTCAACTATGTAAAATCGATCGTGATGGTGTTAAACATCTTGATGATATTGAAATTAATCCGGCTACAATTTTGAATCCTGAATTGAGACAAAAACAACAACAATCAAAACCACAGCCTATGATTCATTAATTATCATATTTTTTGTAATAATTTTTCAAATATTGAAAATTTCAAAATAAAAAATTGATTTTTTTTAAAAAAAAAGCTGATTACAGAATTTATTCAACGGAAATCAATTTTTATTATCATTTTTCAAAAAATGATTGATTGACAGCTGTGATTGATCAACAATCTTTGATTCGATACATTTATACACCCTTGGTCATCATTGATCACCAATCAATCGATCAATAAATAGATAAAATTTGTGACAAAAAAAGAAATAAAAATTTGAATTGAAAAAAAATGATGATGATGAATACAAACACACCTAATATATAAAGTGAATAATAATAATTCTTTTTAGAAAAAAAAATCAATCAATCAATCAATAATCGATAATCAATCAATCAAATAATTTACGCACATAAGAAGAATAAGAATAAGAAAAAAATGATAATAATAATGATGATAATATGAAAACGTATGTTTTGAATTTTAAAAATTATGTTTTTGTGAACAAAATGATGATATTATTTATACCACAGATTATTATTATTATTCGGGTGGGAAAAAGGACAAACAGATAATTTGATAATGATGGTGGTTGGTTGGTTGGGTGTATTTAGATGAATGAGTAATGTGATTGTTTTCGTGTTGGTGATGTTATTGTGGTGGCGGGTATTTTTCAAAATTCAAAAAAATCAATCAAATAATTTAAGTATCATTTTAATTAATTGAAAACAAACGAATTGTTTTTTTTTTTGGTTGATAGAAATGTTTTGCATTGGTTTGTGTGATGAGTGAATGGTTTTTAAACTAATTTAAAGAAGAAGAAGGAGAGAAAACAAAATGTGAATGTGTGTGTGTTTGAGGATTCAAAAACTTTTTTGTTTTGTTTGTGGTGATGATGAACGTTGATTTGGATCAGATTTTTCATTGTTGTTGTTGTAATTACAGCTAAACAAATACTTTAGCCAAACCATCAGCACCAGCTGATGCAAAATAAGGCTTTGTTGGATGAAATGTAACATCAAAAATTGCTTCATCAAATTTTTTCCTATGTGATGATATTTCCTGTACACAATTTTTATTATCAAAATTCCATAGACGAACACTACAATCATGGCCTATTTAGAAAAAACGGATTATTTATTTAAAATCAATGATTGATGGTAATGTTGATTGATTGATACTTACTTCCACTTAGAATATACCAGCCATTAGGATCACAATCGACTGAAGTTACTTCATCCAGATGAGCAACCATCGAATGTATACATTTGCCTAATGAATAACGAATGAAGGGAAAAAAATCAAAAAACACGAAAAAAATAAGTAAAATAAACAAACCGGTATTAATATCCCAAAGTTTTATAAAACGATCTTCATGAGCTGTAATCACAACGGGCATTATTGGATGTATAGCAATCGAATTAATTCGACCATTATTATTATCATTTGATTTTTCAAATGTCAAAATTGGATTGGCTGATGATGATGATGATGAATTACCAATATCACCGGAATGAGCTTCAATATCATACATGGCCATCGTACCATCATTATAAGCACAGATTAATAATGGTGATGAACTAACATTTTGATTTGTATTCAACGATCCAATCACAGCAATATCAGTTGGCGTTTTATCTAATGTGGATGAAAAAAAAGTTAGATTCGAATTGATTGAAAATAGTATGGATCATTATTTTTTTCTACCTTCGGTTTCAATAGTTTTCAAACAAATCGAACGTGCTGTATCCCATATTTTTATCGTTTTATCCGATGATGATGAACAAAGTATATTTAATTGTGATTGTGATGATGTTAATGATGATAATGACCAAATGGCATTATTATGAGCTTTGGTTATTGTATTTAATTGTATTTTATAATCATATGGATCATAAATATCCATATATAAATTATTCATTGGTATTGACCATGTAATAATTTCACCATTCTGTGATCCAGAATAGAATTGATTTCCATTCAAACATAATGATAATACTTTTGATGAATGGCCACGATATGTATAAATTGGTTCTAGATCGATTGCATTCACCGTATTGATTGGTTGTTTATCTAAACAAAATCAATTAATTAAAACAACATCATTACAATTACAACAAGCCCATCAAATAATAATAAAAAAGATTGCATCATCATACTTTTAGTTGACTGTGTTTTATTAATATTCCATAATTTAAGTGTTTCATCATCCGATGCTGTTATTAATAATGGTTCAGTTGAATGAAAACGTAATGAACGTATACAATCATAATGTGATCTATTTAAAAATGAAGTAAACCCATAAATCGATTGCAATCATTATAAAATATAGTTCTTACTTGAGAATATATTTTTGGCTCCACGTTTTTCGTATTTCAGATGTTGCTGTATTATTATTATTATTATTATTGATTGAAACATTGCAATTATCAATCACATTATCTGTTTCGGTTAATGATGCTAATTCACCAAGCATTAGATCACGATTTGCTAAATGGAAAAAATTTTCCCAAAATAAAATAACAACAACAAACAAACAAAATTCAAACTTACGATTCGAACAATTCCAATCGGTTGATCTTTTCGATGCTGATCTTAAATCAAAATGATTTTCACGTTGATTATTCGGATCAATCATACGATTATTGAGTATCATATCAAATTCATTTAAAACTTCTTCAGTTTCATCATTATTATTCATTGTTGATCCATGATCACCACCACCACCACCTTGTGTGTCTAATGATTGATCCATTACATCTTCATCATCGACATCAATCTTATCCAACATTGAATCATGATCATTTTGATTGTTTAAAAATTCAAACGTAGCCAATACACTTGATTCAGCATCATTAATCATTGTATTTGTTTGATTTTTAATCTGTTTATTTCGTCTACGAACAAAATCAATATAATCAGGTGATGATGTTGATAATTCATTGCTATTATCATTATTATTATTATTTGTTGTCGATGTTTGATTTGGATGATTTTTTTTCTCTAAACCAATCATTTTTGTAACAGCTTGTTCACTTGTTATTTGATCATTAATCGATAATCCTAATAATGATCGTACACGATTCGAACGTACATCGATTATTGTATCCGTATAGCCAATTTCTTGTAGATAAAGACGTAATAATTGACGACCCTAAAAATCAAAAACACCAAGAATAAATAAAATTTATCGATGACCAATCAATTGGACTTACTTGTTTCCAACTTAAATTCTTTTGATCACCATCCGTATTATCATTATTATTATTATTATTATTATTATTGATATTATCATCAAGTTCAAATTGTAAATCATTCAATTCATCGGCTGTTGTATCATTAATATGATCAGTTGGTTCGGTACCATATTTTAATTTATGAAATTTTGTTCGTTCTTGTTTCAAACAATATTCTAACATTTTTATTCTTCGAATCAAGTCATTTTTTAGATTTTCTTGGCCTTTACGTTCACCTTGTAATAATGCTATACGTGCTTGTAATTCAGATTTTTCAACCTTTGAAACAAATATGATAAAGATTCGAATGCAAAGTTTTTTTTAAAAAAACAATTCAAAACTTACCTCCCATTGTTGACGATGTAATTCAAATTTTTGCCATTCATATTGCAGAAATTGTACAATTCCAGCAATTGTATATGGTAAATTGGTCGAACGATTTTGATCCGAATTTTGGCCATTATTATTATTATTATTATTAATGTTATTATTATTATTATTATTATTCGTTAATGATACATTATTATTATTATTATTATTATTTGTCATTGTTAAACGTCCATTTGTTAATGTTGATGTACAACCATTATTCGAATCCATCATTTTTGGATTAACAAACAAAACAGAAAACAAAAACGGAAAATAGAAGATTCAGTTGTACAAGATGTGTGAGTTGAAATAAACAGGACGAAGTGAAGAAGTCAGAATCGGATTTTTATTCGATTCTTTCAAAGAATCTGGAGCTGGACAACAACATTAACCATCACTACATACACAGAACAAAAATGATTATTTAAATTAATAAAGATAACAAATTAATAACAAAATTTTTGATGAGAAAATTTTCGAAAAAAAAACAACAAAACACACATCGTCGTCAAAACATATATTCCCATTCAGTTTATTTGTTGAAAATGGCAGATAAAATCCAACCAAACAACATATATATAACTCGCCAATATATATTGAAAAGAGACCATGGGAGGGTGAGCAAGGTGGATATAGCGGTAATGAAATGATGATGATATATAGATGGAGGGTGGATATAAATAGTGGGAAAAAAAGAGACACGCCTTCATCATAATCAGACAATGTAATTATGATTCTTTCTTTTGTTTGTTTGTGCCGGTAGATAACGCCATCTATGAATTGATTTGATTTAATCTTTTCATTTTTTTTTTCAATGAAATTAGAATTGGATTTTTTCGAATTAATTTGATTATCGGTTTTTGGATTTTGATGCGGAATGTTCAAAAGTGTGTGCGAAAATCATTCGATTAATCGAATGATTTCAATATAATCATCATCAAAGTTTTTTGTTTCAAATTTGCAACAAAGTAAAACACCGATCTTTGTTTGTTTTTTGGATGAATCTTTTCTTGTTCACAGATAACCGTACATTTCTCGGCATCTTGATATCAAAATGAAGACTTTTTCATTCATAAAATGAATTTCTTGAAATCTTTTCCATTGAAATTATTTTAGACAAAAAAAACTTCGATCAAAATCAAAATCAAAAAAAATCGAATGAAAAAAATCCTCGAACCACCAGAGAGCAGCACAGGCAAAGAAAATTATTTGATTAAACAATATAGCTAGTGACCGTTGAAATAGACGTCATTCAACGTCATAATAAAAAAAGAAAAATAAAGCCAAATTGATCACGTGACCTGTTTGACAGCTGTTTGTTACAACAAAAAAAACAATAATTATTATTATTTTTCAATTGAAAATTGAAGGATGCTTTTGTGTTGTTCAAGAGAAAATAAAAAAGAAAATTATAATAATTTCTTCTTACGGATGATTTTACGACATCAACAACAACAACAGCAGCAACAACAACAATTTCTCTTATGAAACATTTCTTGAATCAAAAAAACGTAAACAAAAAGACTTTTTCTTATTGGGCCAATCCATTTCTATCAATATCCACAATTGTGGCCATAGTGTTGTTTGATTTGTTCAACTTTTTTTTTGTGTATCGATTAGGTAATTAGGTAATTAAAACCCGATCAAAAATTGAAAAAAATCTGTGTAAAAAAAAATATATTATGTCCTCAACATTCATTACGATACCAGCAAATACTATACAAGCATTAAAAAATTTAGGCTATACAATAGCTACAGCAAATCATCCAGTTGGAATCACCACCGCCAATATGACCAATGATTTTAGGTAATGAATTTTTTCCATGTTCTTATACACAATTTCGCGGTAAATAATAATGATGATAATTTGTTTTTCGTTCTTCCATATTTATAGCAATAATAATGATAATAATGTGATGATGATGATGATGATGAAAGAAAATAATCATAGTAATGTTTTGGATAATAATAATAAAAAAGTAGAAGTACGTTGGTTGGAATCGGAAGCTGAATTATATATAAAACAATGGCGTCGTAAATATCGACAATTAGAAGCAATTGATAATAATAATGTTTTTACTAAACGTTTATCATCATCATCATGGTCATCATCATCGTCATCTTCTTCTTCTTCATCATCATCATTGGATGATTGGTATTGTACAGCACATAATATATTGGATTTAGATGTATCATGTTTAAATACAAAAGAATTTAATAAATATAAATGGAATGATCATCATGGTTTTGATCTTATATTCAATAACCGATCGAAACCATTTTCATTAACAATTATTGATGGCGATAATGTTGATGATAATAATGTTACTGTTGCTGATGATAATGATAATGAAAATGATGATAAATTTAATAATGGAAATAGTATTGATGATGATTTATTAAGATTTCATCATCATCATCAATCATTAATGGATCATAATGATCATTATCCGTTGCTGTTGCATCAACAACAACAACAACAACAATTCATACCATTCGAAACAATGATACAATTCGATCCAAACATACCAATCAATCAAGAATTATTAGCTATATTAAAAGCAAATAATTTAATTGTAAAAAATGGTAAATTAATGGAAAGTAAGTGGTTATTTTTTTATTATGATTTGTAATTTGTTGTAAATTGATCGATTCTTTTTTTTTGTATTTTAGAAGAAAATATTGTTACAACAAAGGATAATAATCATCTTAATCATCACCATCATCATCATCATAATCATAATCACCATCATGGTAAAAATGTTGGTGAAAAACCAACAACAAGAAGAAATCAAAAACAAACGGCTAATCATCATAATCATCAACATAATCATCATTTATCAGTATCATCATTACCTGTAGTACCGATACAACAACAACAACAACCACCATCAGTATCTTTACCACCATCAATATCGATGACAAATTTAATTGAACCATTACCATCATTATCATCATCAACAACACCAACAATGGCTTTAATGAATATGAATGATCATCATTTATCATCAACAATGGTTAATCCAAATATAACAGCAATAGCTGCCGCATCATCAATACCAACAGCAAATGTATTAACAACACCATTAATGACAGCAACGGCAAATACTATTATTACATCAACAACAACATCACCTCCATCGAATATTAATAGTGGAAAATGTTCAAATAGTAAACGAAATAAAAATAATCAACAACAGCAACAGCAGAATAATTCAAATCAAACGAGTAATAATTCAACGAATAATTCAACCAGTAAACCACGTAATCGTCCAAGTTCAACAAGAAGACAAATGTATATTTGTGAATATCCTGGTTGTACATATCAATCGGATAGAAATTTTAATTTTTTACGACATAAACGTACACATGGTAAACAGAAAAATGATCCAGATTCAACTGGACATCATCCACATCATCATAATCAAAAACATCGTAATAATAATAATAATAATAATTCGTCAACAACAACAACATCGATATCGACATTAACAAATATAACACCAACAACCACATCAACGATTGGTACGAATAATTTTCTATTCAATCAACCATTACCACCGAATACAACAAATTTAATGATTATGGCTAATAATAATGGTAATAATGGTAATCTTATGTCATCACCAAATTGTTTTGATCAACAACAACAACCAACAACGGTAGAATTTAATCCAAATGGTTTAATTATGGCTACAACAGCAACAACAACAACAAATTTACATAATGATTCAACAACAGCATTATTATCGAATGATTTTAATCTCGATCCTCATCATCATCATCATCCATCAGCATTATTGACAACGATTCCACCATCGTCATCATCATCATCATCACCATTATCAACAACAACCGGAACAACAACAACAATAAATTTATCAGCTGTTAATGGTCAATTTTTATTGAATCAATCATCGGCTATTGTTGGCAATAATGATCAAGATAATTATAATAATTTACAAACATTGAATCATAATAATCAACATCAGAATATTATTATGAAAGATATTAATAATTTTGAACATTTATTAACGGATAGTAATCATCATCCTCATCAACATCATCATCATTTTTCAACATTAACATTGGATCCATCATTTTTATCCTAGAAAAAACAAAAACTGAATTAAAATAGTTAGTTAGTTAGTTAATCTCTTTTTTTCAAAGGCAAACCAAAATTCAAATTTATCAACCACAACCAACCAAAAAAATCAAAATTCAGTACAAATATTGTTTGAATCGTTTTTAGGTTTGAAGAGAATTGTATGCGGACCATATTCTTTATATAAAAATGTGTGTGTGTGTGTGTGTGTGTGTGTGTGTGCTGCCCATATAATTTTTAGTAAAAAAAAGCCAAAATTCCCGAGTTAACAAATTTGAAATATCTTTTGCTTCTTATATTTTGTACAGAATAACAACAACAACAAAAAGTCTGTCATTATTTCTTCTTTTCTCTTCATCATTTTTTTTTCGTTTTTGCTTATTTATTATTCAAATTTCATCATTATCATCATCATCATCAATTCTGAAAAAACAAACATCATCATCATTATTTTCATTTTCAAGAAAAATATTCGAAAAATTGAACCAAAAAAACAAAAAGTTTTACATTTGGGTCTTTCATTTGATTTCAAGCAAACAAACAGAAGGTGTTTTGTCAAGAACGACGAATGAATTTAATGAATTTAATCACCATCAATTGAACATGTCCACAATCAATCGATCAATCTTTTTTTTTCAAAAAAATTGGTTAAGGAATTTTTTAATGTAAAAAAAAATAGCGACTGTTCTTAACAAAATACACACACACAAAACACCAAACACACATTCAAAACAATCAATAAATCTTAGCATTTTTCACACACACACATACATTATCCATTGATTCCATTTATCATCCATTATATTATTTTCTTTCTTTATATAATTTCACTGATTCCATGATATTTTCTTTTTCTTTTTTTTTTGATTTGATTTTTGAATTTCAAAATAAAATTCGAATTAAAAAATATTCAATTAATGGTAGTAAAAGATTATCAACATGTTTGGTAAATGTTTCCATTAAACAGGTAATAATGGATATGATTAACACTTTGATGACTAGTTGTAATTGATTTGTATTGAAAAGATTATTATAATAATAATAATCTAATAGGAAAAATGATAGGAAATGTGATAGGAAAAAACCGAATGTTCCAATGTAGGTTTTTGATGAATTTGGCCATCGTTGTCGCCGTGAACCGAATGTAATGCCTACGATTGATGCAATTGTATCACCAATACCAATGGATAGAATACCGGATGAAAGTAATAAACGATGATTTGTTGAATCATTACATAACCATAATGGTAATGAACAACCAATCAATAGATAAATATGTGTTAATGTAAGTATACCGGAATCTTTTTCATCACGAAATCTTTCAAATACAGTGTTTATTATTGAAACAATCACAGGTATTCGGCTTAAACGTATAATCTATATTTAAAAAGGTAAAATATCAAATGTCAATCAGATAAATTCAGTAATCTTACCTCAATAAAAATGAAAATAAATAGAATAAGTTTGGATGCAAAATTCAACAACAACAGATCATATTTAATTCCAGTAATATAGACAATTGATATGGCTAGATGAAATATTTTTCGGGTAGCTGTTGTCGTTTGACGATCAACAGTGAGAAATGTATGAATGTAAACAAATGTTAATGTTAATAGGACAACCAAAAACCAGAATAAAAGTAAATAAATCTATGTGTGGAAATAAAGAAAGGTATTATTGGAAGGAAAAAATTGAATTCAAACAAAATTTACCCTAATTTGATTGGATGAAAAGAATGTTACAAACCAATATAATGGTTCTATGTGAAGAAAATGATATAACCATACATATAATGATAATGGTAATGAGATCAAATAGATAATCGGATCCAATTTTGAAACGAATTGAGCAATCATCCAATGGATGGCTAATGTTGAATAGCAAATCTATTTTATGAATGAAATTGAGAAATGATTTTCGTAAAAAAAATTAAATAACTTACCAGGCAAATAGCATCAAATTTTTGAGCAACCATCATCATCGACGATCCATCATTAACGATCCAATATTGCCAATTGAATACATAGATTGAAACAACATAATAATATATCGCTTGAAATACGATAGCGAATTCGGCAAATGTAAAACATCGAGAATATTTTACCGGTAAAATCCATAATAATTTCAATGTAATCAAATTGAATAATAAAATGAATGAAAGAAAACTGATAGAAAATAATGGAATCGAAAATGTTTGTTGATAATATAAGATGACAAATAGACCGGCATTGAACAATGTAAATGAACCAAGGGAAACATTGAATCGATATGCCAGTAAAACAATACAAGCATTAATCAACAGATAATAGTTGAATAGTTGTGATTCATGATTCGATAATGATGACGTTCGATTAATTTTCCATAGTTCATACGCGGCAATCAAAGGCAACAATAAAATATATTTTGAATCGATAATATTTTGACGAAAATTTCTAAAAATCAAAAAAAGAAAGAAAGAATAATGAAATGAACAATGAAATGAAAAAACCGAAAGAAAATTCTTACAAACGATTAAATTTGGCCATTTTTTTCACACACACACACCGAAATTGAATTACAAAATCATCAAGCGTGAGAGAACGAGAATGATAATCAATAAAATTCAGCCAACAAATCAAAAAAAAAATTACATGTTTTTCAAATAATGATTAGATGATCGATAATTGATAATTTTGCAAAAATTGATTGATCAGATATCCAAAAAATCCAAAAATCATTCGAATGATCCGATGAGCCATCTATCGGATCGAAAATCAATGAAAATGTGAATATTCGGTTATTCGGTGAGCCAAAAAAAATTAATTACGACGAGAGCGAAAAGAAAGGGAGAGAGAGAGAGAGAGAGAGAGCTGTATTCCCTGTTTCATTCATCACATTTTTTTGAGCACCGATATACGCGGCTGAATCATAGGCAGCATCATTTTTTTTTCGTTTTTTTGGCTCATCCCATTCGTTTTTTTTCAAATAATCATCGTTCCCCGATGTTGATTGATTGATTGTAACTTTTTTCGTTCGTTAACAAAAATTATCTTCTTTCTTTTTTTTATAAAAAAATCCGGATTTTGTACCACTCTTTCTCCCTTGCTATTTCGAATATCTTCTTCCCACACACAAACATTTGCATCATCAAGAGAGATACGAATACGAATTGCATTCATTCGATTGTAAAAACCTATTTTGGTTGATTTTGTTTTTTGTTCATCAAGAAAATCTATTGCATCAAGAGACAATCAAATTGAAAATCATGCAATCATCAATAAGAATCGTATTTTGATCCATGTAATCTGATTGTTGTTGTTGTAAAGTTGATTGAATTCGAATTACATCGTGGATACCGATATGGGTATGTATTTTACATTAGTAATTTGGTTTTTTTTTCTTGATTAAAATCGTCATCTTTTCTTTCAAAGGTAAAACTGGTGAAATAACCGTTATTGCAAAATTTGATTATAAAGCACAAGGAAGTCAGGAATTAGATTTGAAAAAAAATGAACGTCTTGTTTTATTGGATGATAGTAAAAGCTGGTGGAAAGTATTGAATTCAAAAAATCAATCTGGATTTGTACCATCGAATTATGTGAAACGAGAAAAAACATCAATTTTTGATAGTATAAAAAATCGTGTTAAGAAAAAAGATTATAAAAATTCACCAGTATCATCACCATTATCGAATAAAGCATTTATTAATATTGATATTAATAATCAACAAACACCGACAACAACAATATCACCACCACCACCACCATTACCAATAACATCATCAACCGATTCACATCCATCATTAATCATAAATAATGAAATAATAAAAATTGTAATTGCAAAATATAATTATGATGCACAACAAACTGATGAATTGACTCTAGTCAAAGGAGATAAAATATCTGTATTGGAAAAATCATCAGATGGTTGGTGGCGTGGTCGTACACCGAATGGTGAAATTGGTTGGTTTCCATCCAATTATGTTCAAGAACCGGATGATAAAACGACGACTACGACGACCGCTACCAATAATAACAACAATAACAATTCGAATGGACAAAATCATCAAATATATCAGAATGATGAATTACAAAATAATATGAATAATATTTCATTCAATCAAAATGGAATGAAAAAAATTGATTTTCCAACATTAGATTGGGTTATAGCATTATATCCATTTCAATCACAAAATAATGAAGAATTAAGTTTTCAAAAAAATGAAAAATTAGAAATTTTGGAACGACCGGAAAATGATCCTGATTGGTGGAAAGCACGTAATGATAATGGTGAAATTGGTTTGGTTCCTAAAAATTATGTTAAAATCTGTAATCAAGATAATCAAGGATTATTTGAATCATTGAATTCAGATTTCAATCGTTTAGCTGTTGAAACAAATGGATCATCATCATTATTATCATCAAATAATCCAATACAAATGGATATTAGTCATCAAATATGGTACTATGGTTGTATATCACGTGGTGATTGTGACAAACTTTTAAATGAATATGGACAAGATGGTGATTTTCTTATACGTGACAGTGAAACAAATGTATGTTCAATTCAAATAACTAATGTCTATTTTACCAAAATTTCTTTTTGTTGTTGTTGTCTAGATTGGTGATTTTTCTGTTTCATTAAAAGCACCACAACGTAATAAACATTTTCGTGTACATTTTAGCGATGGTATTTATCATATTGGTCAAAGAAGGTTTCAATCATTAGAACAATTAATTGAACATTATAAAAAAGCACCAATTTATACTAGTTCAGATGGTGATAAATTATATCTAATCAAACCATTTGTTAAAAGATAATTTTTAAAAATCAGAATTGGAAATTTTTTTTTGAATGAAATTCTTCATTTTTTTTACCTGAAAACACTCCGAATCAGGAATGTATTTTCACCGGAGAAAATTGTTTAGGCGGCTTTTTTATTTAACGCGTTCGCTACCGGAGATTTCGAAAAACACATAGAACTACAGCAAATAAACGACGCATATATGCGTCGCTGGTAGCGAACGCGTTAATATAATACTTGAAATTCATCATTCATTCATCATTCTTTGCAGTTTTTAATTAGAATTTATTTTTTATTTGTAAATTTTTTTTTTAAATTATAAAATTGTCACTTAAAAAATACTCAGCTTTGTTTGTTATATTTACATTTTTTTAAAAAAGAAAGAAAGAAATAAGTTTAGATAATTGAAAACATAGAACCCCCACTTACAAAACATTTTTACAAGATGTGTTTTTTTTTCTACAACCAAAAATATTTGTATACAATCAAAATATATTTCGTACACTTTCTTTTCCCATTTTTTTTTGTGGATTGTTTTTGCATAATTAAAACTCAGTGAATTCTATGTTTTTTTTTTTTGGTTTTTCTTTGAATTCGAATGTTGAAATGACGATAAGAAAAAAGAACATTCTTTTTTTTCGAAAAATTATTGTGCAACATTTGGATCGGCAAATGGATTTGCATGTATTGTTACACAATTTAGATGAACATCTTTTAATGGTCGATAATTTTTTGGATTAACAGGTAATTTTTCCAAATCATTCAATGTATCCATTCCATCGATTAGTCTTTTCAATTTCAGATTCGAATATTGATTAGTGAAAAAACAAATACAAATACAAATATAACTTACTTGGCAAAAATTGTATATTTAAGATCTAAATGTGATTGACCAGCATAAGTAATAAAAAATTGTGATCCATTAGTATTAGGACCATTATTGGCCATCGAAACAATACCACGTTGTGAATGTTTTAGATCTTCATGTAGTTCATCATCGAATTTTTTTCCCCAAATACTTTGACCATTTTTACCGGTACCAGTTGGATCACCTGTTTGTACCATAAATCCTTTAATATTACGATGAAATATACATCCATTATAATAATCGCTGGCACAAAGTGCTAAGAAATTCTGTATTCAGAAAAAATTAAAAACGAAAGAAAATAATGATAATAATCAACAAAACAAGAAAAACAAACCAACCTCACATGTTTTTGGACATTTTTCACAAAACAATTCCAATTTAATATCGCCCAAATCTGTATGCAATGTGACTGACATTTTCGGCAACGATCGATCAATCAAAATCAAAATCAATTAAATTAACCAAATCAAATCGGTTTTTTAGTTTTTTGACTTTTCGAACGTTATACACATGGAGACAAACAACGAGGGAAAAAACATTACAAAATCCGATCAATAGATGTCGTTGTCACCAGGTTTATCATTCGAATCATAAATGGCCAAATGGCGCCCTATTAATGCGCAAGCTTATCTTTGAAAGCCAAATTTAAGGGAAACAAAAACAAAAAAATCCGTTTCTGTTTCGGCTTGCTTGATTTATATATAGCGAAGAAGACCATTGATAACATCCTTTGATGCTAGTAGCAATATCGTTGGCTGAATGGTGCTTATATCTTTTCAATGATAAGAAATTGTTCAATGATGAAAAATTTCAGTAGCATTTTGAACATCAATAACATCGGTACATCAAGTTTTTTGTGAACGAACAACAACAACAACTAAAATGAATTCAGATGAATTTCGTGAAGCATCCAAACAATTAACAGATTATATTGCTGATTATATTGAAGGTTTACGACAAAGATCAGTTGTACCGGATGTTGAACCAGGTTATCTGAATGATTTAGTACCAGAATTACCACCTGAACAAGGTGAACCATGGTGTAATCTGTTTAATGATATTGAACCTGTTATTATGAAAGGAGTAAGTTCAATTAACCTAACTTCTTAACTTCCTAACCTAACCAAACTAACCTAATTTCAATATCACATAATTCAAAAAGATTCAAAAATTGATTGTATCGATTCATTCGATGATTGAATGGCGCCATTATTATTATTGTTAGGAAAAATAATTGGATCATTCCGGTCCATTCATTCACGAATGACAATGGAAGCCATTATCGTCATCATCATTATAGTTGCTTTTTTCAATAAAGGTTATTATCGGAAAAAAGAAGAAAAAAAATTCGGAATTTTTTTTCTTTTGAATAATAATGAACATTCACTGATAACAATACAATATGTATGGCACATCATCATCATTATTCGATTCGATTCTTCATTCTTCATTTTGGCAATTTGAAGTGAAAATTGATTTTGATTTTGATTTTTTTTTCTTTCTTCTTGGTGATAAAATCGATTGAATTGTATGAGAGTGAATTCTTTCGATTCATTTTTTGCTCTTTTTTTGCATTGTCCGGGATACGGGAATTATCTTGATAAATTTTTTCTCTCCCTTTAATAATATATACAGATGACACATTGGCATTCTCCACGTTTTCATGCATATTTTCCAACAGCCAATTCATATCCAGCAATTTGTGGTGATATGTTATCAACTGCATTGGCCTGTATTGGTTTTACTTGGGTATTCTTTTTTTCATTTTTCACTTTCTCTTTTTATCGATTCAATTCAATTCTTTTGATTTTTTCCAATTGAATTTTTTCATCATATAAACTGAATATAGAATGCAGCACCATCATGTACCGAACTGGAAATGCGTATGATGGATTGGCTTGCATGGATGATTGGCCTACCAGAATATTTTCAATTTAAATATGGTCCTGGTGGTGGTGTTATACAAACAACGGCAAGTGAATCAACATTAATTGCAATACTTGGTGCACGTACACAAATTCTTAAACAATATGGTTTGGATAATCGTATTGCTGATGATCAAGATGATGATGAAGATCAAGAAGATGGTCAAGGTGGTCAATATGATGGCCATTCAAAACATTATGAATTACTTGGTCGTATGGTTGCTTATGCATCCAATCAATCACATTCAAGTGTTGAAAAAGCAGCAATGTTAAGTGCAACAAGAATCCGATTGATTCCGGTTGATAGGGAAAAAAATTATTCAATGAATGTTGATCGATTACGAAAACGTATTATAGCTGATAAACAACGTGGTCTAATTCCAATGATTGTCATAGTTACATTAGGTACAACAAATACATGTTCATTTGATAATCTTTTCCGTATTGGTGAAATATGTTCAGAATTTCGAATATGGTTACATGTTGATGCTGCTTATGCTGGTTCAGCATTTGTTTGTCCAGAATTTCGTCATTATATGCATGGTATTGAGCATGCAACATCATTTACAATGAATCCACATAAATGGCTTTTAGTTAATTTTGATTGTAATGCATTTTGGTTAGTTAGATTTTTGATTGATTTTTGCTGTCATCTGCATTTGACATTAATTGATTATTGATTTTGTCATTAGGGTAAAAGATAAAAGCCTAATTGAAGATGCATTCATTGTGAATCCAGTTTATTTAAAACATGAAAACCAGAATCGTATTCTTGATTATCGGGTAAGCGTTTGTTTGTTGATAATTTTTTTCAATCAAATTAATCGGTTGGTTGATTAGCATTGGCAAATACCATTAGGACGACGATTTCGTTCATTAAAAATGTGGTTCGTATTTCGTAGCTATGGTCTGAATGGACTGCAAAAACACATTCGAAAGGTTTGTTGATTGAAATTTTAGAATCGCAATTTTACGATTTTCCGTTCATAAAGCAAATAGAATTGGCAAAATTATTCGGACAATTGTTAAAAACTGATGATCGATTTGAATTGTTTGATGAAATACGAATGGGTTTAGTTTGTTTTCGATTAAAGGTAATGAAAATGAAAATATCTTTTATCACAAAAAAATTGATTGATTCGAAACATTCAACAAACACAGGGATCAAATGAATTGAATGAAAAACTTTTACAATCCATCAATCATGGAAAGGAAATATTTTTAACACCAGCAAAAGTAAATGAACAATTTATTATACGATTTGCCATTTGTTCACGTACAACCGAAGAAATGGATGTTCAATTTTCATGGAATTTAATTCAAAAACATGCTGATCAAATTATTCTTCAACGACCGAAATAAAACCGGATAACATGATTATCAAAAAAAAAACTACAGTATTTTGAATTCGAACGATTCAATCGATCATCTACTTTATGTATGACCCTTGATCGAACGTTTTATTCGAATTGAAAAAAAAAAATTTGACAGTTGAAAAAAAATTTTCCAAATAAAGTTTGTGTTTGATATGCAAGTTTGTTTGTTTTCGTTTTTTTTCTCTTCTTTTTTTCTGATTTTTTCAAAAAATCGAAATTAACAAAATTATGGAACAACAAGAACATCAACGAAATAATAATCTTATAGATCGTGTAAATAGATTAATTGTAAAACATTCATTGGCTGTACCACGTTTAGTTTCATCACGTTTTATTAGCTATCAATTTTGGGCAACAATATTTACAAAATTATTTCATATTCGATGTGATCTGTCTGTACGTACGAATCGTGAACGTATTGAAATGATTCGTTCTTGTTTGAATACTATTGAATCATTATCTGGTATTTCGTTGAATCATATTAAACCAATACGTTTACTTAATTATGATATGGATACTATTTCAAATATGTTGGAAATTATTGAAACATGGAGTGAACATATGAATGATAATTTTGAAAATTTTGTCGATGATAGTGAATGGATTGATGGTCAATCAAGCAGTAATAATAATAGTCCAACAAATCTAAATATACAATCATATCAATCTGAACCGATTATCAATCGAAGAATCTATCAAACAACTAATGATTCAAAAGCAAATAATTTGGCCGATACATTGTATAAAGCATTGAAAAATCGTATTATTGCATTGGAAATTGAAAAAAAGATTAAATCCTATCTTGGTGATGTAAATTCGATTAGCCGTAAACAAAGAAATAATGATGATAAATTAATACGTGCTTCACGACAAAGTATTGTACGAACAAGAACAATACAACCGATGGCAACATTTGATTTTAATTTTACACGTGAAGAAAAACAAAGTCCAATATTAAGTGTTGATCTTGAACGATGTTATCCGGAAATATCGATTGAAATGTTGAAAAAAATTCAACATCTTGAACAGAATCTTTTGATTTTGGAAAGAAATATAAAACCTGGCCATTTGAATCGTGCACGAATGAATCAAGTTTTAAGTTATGTTAGTGAAAAACAACGACGACGATTCGAAATGATGAACAATCTTGTTGATGATGATGATGATGATAATGGTGGTGGTGGTGGTGTTAAAAAACGTTTTTTAATGACACAAATGATTTCAAGAAATGGATTACGATCACAAAGAGCATCATTATCCGAAGAGATAAGAAAATTTTCTCGATCATCAATGGCTGCCTATCTAAATGCTCGATCATATTTGGAAAGAATTTTAGTTGAAGAATTTCGAAAAGTTGATGCTAATCAACGTGATAATTTGAATGAAATACGTCGTTATCTTCGTGATAATCCAGATAATATGGAATTGGATAAAGTTCGAACAATGTTTGAAATGATTGAAAATTTATTGTAAAACATTTTATTGACCATTTTTTTTTTCAAAAAAAAAAAAAAAAAATTATATACATTTTTCAATCAATGACCGATAGATGTCTGTATCTATCATTTTTATACGATATTTATGTACGACCATCCAACGTTTTTATTCAATAAAAAGAATTCTTTAAAGAAAAGAATGCATTTTTTTACCATCAATATTTGTATATCACACATAAACAATATTAGCGAAAAAAAAAATTCAAATTCAAATTTTATTCTTCCCTCTCTTTTTTTTGTTTGTTCTATCTCAAGTTTAGTTTTTATTAAAAGTTTTTGATTTTGTATTGGATTTTGTTTGTTCTGTGTAAAATCCACGAACCATAACCGAAGAATCAATATGACTGATATTTGTGAGTAGAAAAAAGCAGTGGTTTGTTTTGGCCATCATTATTTTTGTTATTTGATTTTGTGTTTTTGCAGATGAGGATCGAGTAACCAGTGAAGAATATAAACAATGGAAAAAGAATACACCATTTATGTATGATTTTATGATGACACGAATATTAGAATATCCATCACAAACTGTTCAATGGTTTAATGATGATATTGAAAAAATTGATGATGATCCACATGAATCAATGTTACAACGGTTATTATTCGGTACAAATACCGGATCATTTAATGATGATAATCATTTGATAATAGCATCGATTACATTACCCGGTTATCGGGAACCACCTAAAATTGATCTTTATAATATGCCTGAAGATGCATTCGGAACATTTGTTCATTATAATGGTAAGGATATTTAAATTTTCTCAATCGTCATTGTCACTAATCATTTGATTTTTTTTGAAAATTCTATATCCAGATCAATTGGAAGCCGATTTTAAAATCTATCATAATGGATCGGTTGAATGTGCTAGATCAATGCCACAAAAAGAGAATATCATTGCTACAAGAAATCATAATGATTTATTTATCTATGATATTAAAGATTGTCTTGCTGATTACAATGTTGCTGGTAATGAACTTACTTAATCATTGACTAAACTAATAATGGTTTTTTTTTGGAAATCTAGGAGAAACATCACCAATTCATATTTATCCAAAATTGAATAGTGAAATAAATTTAGAATGGAATAGTCAAACATCGGGATTATTATTGACCGGTTATGATCGTCATCGGATTGCTATTTGGGATATGAATTCACAGAAAAAACGAAAATCATTAACAACCAAATTAGTACTTGGTGGTTGTGATCAAAATGATAATGATAATGTTGGTTTTATTTATGATGCTAGTTGGCATCAAAAACATCCAGAAATTTGTGCTTCAACAACATCAAAAGGAAACATTCTATTATGGGATATTCGATCAAATAATGTCCAACGTCCTAGCCATTATTTTACTGGTCATAAAGGATCAGCTTTTCAGATAAAATTCAATCCATTTTCCGAATATGTATTCATCACAAGTGGTTCGGATTGCCAAATAGCTGCATGGGATCTTCGTAATCTAAATGAAAAATTGCATTCAATTCAATTGAAACAGGAAAAATTTCATACATTAAAATGGTCATCACATTGTGAAACATTATTCGCAGCATTAACTAATGATCGTAAAGTATATCTATTTGATATGGATAAAATTTTTGATGAATTACTGCCACAAGAAATTGATAATGGTCCATCATCATTAACATTTATACATGGTGGTCATACATCAAGAATTTGTGATTTTGATTGGAATCATAATGATATTAATCCTTTGATGATTTGTTCAGTTTCGGATGATAATGTTTTTCAAATTTGGCAAATGGTTTGTATTTTGAATTTTGTTTGAAAAAAAACTAAATTCTGATTTTCATTTTTCATTTTCTATCTAGTCAAGCAAATATGTTACACAGGATACAAATAGAACGGAAATTTAATTGATTCAAAAAAAACATTTTCATCAATATAAAAAGTTAATCAATCCTAATCAATTCATATGGTTTATATAAACGTGAATATTCTGTATATTGATTGATTGGAAAGGAAAAATTTTTCAATTCACCACCATTAAATGGTGATGATGCATAATTCCATTCTTCAATAGGTATATTCCAATCAGGACCATATTCTTTTTCAATAACTTTTTCTGCTTGACATGGTGCTAATAATTTATGTCCCAATAATTGTATTGAACAAAGATCATAGCGTGGATAATAATAATTACGATATTGTTTTTTACGGGTTATATGACTTGGTAGAAAATACGAACCATTTATATGATCAATATATGTAATAAATAAATCAATTTTTTCATCATAATATTGTGTACGAAATGAATATTCTAATGTTTTTGTTGGTTCACCAAAACGATAAAAAAGATTAAGGCCATGTTTAGGTGCTAAATATTTTAATGTTTCTGTCATGTTTTCGATATCTTGTTGTTCATTTTGAAAATATTTTGACCAAGTCGACAGATCAGTATCGGTTGTATATGGTATTGGATGACAATGACGATACCAACCCAATAATGTACCACACATAATCCAAAATTGCATTTGTAATTCTTTCATAAATGATTTCATTGTTATGATTGCATCGATTGTAACACGTATTCTTTCTTCATTCAATGGGATTTTATGTTGTTTGAACCAATTCATTTTTTCCATTGAACAATGTAAATAACGTGATGTTGATAATTGACTAAGAAAATATTCATGATCATCTGGTATCGGTATAATTTCATAAAATTGTATTCGAAATGGTTCGAAAATTTGTTCATATTTTCCAAATCGTAATGGTTGTTGTTGATGGTCATTGATTATTGTTGAATGATTCGATGATAATTGTCCAATCCAAAGAAAATGTTCAACATGATAGAAAATAACCGTATGTATTGTCCAACCATTCAAATGGAAAATAATATGACCGGTAACATTGTTGTTGTTGTTGTTACTGTTGTTCGAATCGAATGGATATAAACATTCGAATTTTTCATAGGTAATATTTTCCATTTTTAACATTTTATAAAATTCATTTTGATTATAATCAAACAAACCAAATGTAACAAAATAATCCGATTCTTTAAATTGTAATTTATCCATATTAAAACGCCATCGTAATTGTTCAATTTGTTTTGGATTAGAAAATTCAGCCAAAAGACCCGGTTCGATAAGAAAAATTTTCGAATCAAACATGAAAATAAATTCAATCAATATTTTTGGTATATGAATCTTTTCATCAACGAAATTTGAATCGGCAAGATTTTCAATCATAATTCGTGAAAAGATTAATAAACATCCAGTTAATATTAATGCTGTTAATACAAAAATACTATTAAAAAACCATGATGATTGAAATGATAATGGTTTCCATTCGGCCATTTGGAGTTATTTACAAAAAATTTATTCAAATGAATGAATTGTATGTTGTTCGAATGCTTTATATAGAGAGAGAAAAAAACTAATTAAATAAAGTTCAATTAAGGGTCATTAACAAATTGTAAATACCGTTTTTTTTAAATATCAAAGGGAAGGTCTGAGGTTGAAAATACAAAAATGTTGATATTTCGAATCATCATTCGATAACAATACGTGGATAAAAAACTGTTTGTTCCAATTCTTCAGAATGTTCAACAACAAAAAAACTAGGTGGTTCATCAATCAGTTCAGGAATCTGTATCGAATCACTAAGATATTCATATTGTTTACAATTTAAATAAAATAATTTCAATTGTTGAAATTGATTAATAAAACGATGACGATATTTTTTCAAATCATTTTCACTAACATAAGATGAATGTTGATGTAATTTATGCATTAATTGAAAAATTAAATCATAAATTTGACTAGATTCGATTAATGATAATTTCAACGGATTAAGTATACATTTTTGTTGCCAACCACCAATATTAAGGCCACGAATATCGAAAATTTCCGTTTGTAATTGTAATATTTTATCCATATAATTAAATAATTCAATAGCAATTTGTTCAAATAGATCTGGATCATTATCACCGATTTGTTCGAATTGTATGTTGTTTATAACAAGATTTCCCGGTATTTTCATATGTTCCATATGAAATTCAATTTTTTGTAAAACAAGTGAAAAATATAATGGATTCAATATACCAAACAAACAACATTGTGATGAATTGATACAGGTTTTAATTTTAGCCAATTCAACTAATAATGGTCGTTGAGCATATGCATCTTTGATAACATTTGGATGACCATTTCGTATTAACCAATGACAAAGAAACAAAAATTTCCAACATAAATTATGTATGTCCAGCTTAAGATCAATCTTTTTATAAATACATTCATTTGCATAACGCCAAAATAATTCACTTGATTGTGTATGATAAGAATTGATCAATATTGATTCGAATAAATTTTCATCAATTTTCCATTGATCACCATTCAATGTTTTATCCAAAATTGTAAGATAATTTTTTTCAATATTATTATTCAGTGATAATGTTTTCAATTTTCGACTATCACTATACAGGAAATTGTTGAGATATTTTTCCTGTAAAAATCCAAATAAAAAATGAATTCTATTTTCAAATCCAATTTCAAAACTTACCTGTTTGGGTAAAATATTGTTTTTGGATTCGGATTTGAGCAAAATATTTTTGATTACATTTTTGGAAGCTCTTGGTTTTTGTTGTTTTGGTTGTTGTTGTTGAAATTGTTTTTGTAAACATTGAATAGTCGTCGATGAATAAGCGGATTTAGTTCCAATTGATTCAATTAATTGTTGTTCAATTTGTTTAGAATCTTGATCAAGTAATGTACAAAATTTTATGAAAGTTATTTGATCATCTTTTGTGATTGAATCGATTAGATTTTGTTTCCAATTGTCCATTTTTATCGTGGTTCAAATGAATCGAATAAACATCGAACATAATCGTTGTGGGCGAAAACCGTTGGGCGAAAACATTCCAATTTCACCAATATTCATTCGAATCAACGACATCTGGTGGCGTGAAAATTCAAAACAAAACAAAACAATATTCGAATCATCAGATGTTTTTTGGTAAAATTCAGGAAACATTATCATTTTTTGGATGATTAAATAAAATGTTAAAAATGTCACAATTTACACGGATATTTACGGAATCATTAAGATTCTTGTCGGGTCAACCACAACAGCAACAAGCAATTCAAACTCGATCAAAAGAGCAACAACAAAATTTTGATTATTTTCTTATTCTTGATTTTGAAGTAAGTATTTTGAAATGAATTTGTAATGACGATGATGATTGATTTTCCCAAAAATAGGCAACATGTGATAAACCAAAACAATTAACACCAATGGAAATAATTGAATTTCCAGTATTGAAATTTGATTGTAAAACATTAGAAATTGTTGATCAATTTCATCGTTATGTTCGGCCAACAATAAATCCAAATTTAACAACATTTTGTATTGAACTGACCGGTATCGTACAAGATATGGTCGATAATTCGGATAAATTTTCAAAAGTTTTTAATGATTTTCAAAAATGGCTTTTTGAAACAAAATTATTGAATGAAAATCAGGCACCAATTTCAAGATTTACATTCATTACATGCGGTAAGTTCGGGGTGATTTTTGTTTTTTTTTCGATTTTTTTAAAATCTTGATTTTTTATTAGGCGATTGGGATCTGCAAAAAATCCTACCAAATCAATGTAAAATGTGTAATTATGAAATACCATCATATATGAAATCATGGATAAATGTAAAAAAATCCTATGTTGATCATACAAAAGAATGGCCACGTAGTCAATCAACAATGTTAAATCAATTAGGAATTGAATCGATTGGTCGTCCACATTCCGGTATTGATGATTGTCATAATCTTGCACAAATTGTTCGATGTTTAGTAAGGCAAAATTATATTTTTCATAATAATTCTCGTTTAAAATTGAATTAAAAATTTTTTTTAATGTCGAATGATTTTGGTTAAAGACAAACATTTAAACAAAACAGATTTTAAAAAGAAAAATTACAATAAGGATGGGAAATGTTTCTGTTTATGATAAATTTCTTCTTCTTTTGTTATGACGAATTTAAAAAAAAAGATTGAAACTGTGATAATTTAAAAAAAAACTTGAGAAAATCGAGCTCTTGTGAGAAAATGCTAAAAATGTTTTTTAACCAAAGCCACAAGGGTGATAACCGTTCTTGCAAAACGGTCACTGAAGAGCCGGTGAAGGCTTCGTAGTCGATCCAAATTTTTTCGCTATTGATGAAATAATAAGTGAACTTGATGGATTTGCCGCGTTGATGTAAACTTTGGCGAAGATCGTTGTTATTATCTTCTCAATCGACATTGCGAAGACCAACTCGGCGTCGATTTCCTCCTAAAAAAATATCATACATGAGTTAAACGCATGGTGACTATATTTCATCACTACTTACCATCATTTCGTTTTTACGTTTTTCTAATTTTAAGTTAGAGTCCCTTGATGAAATGATTCTTTCGGGTTTCTCCGTGTTGTAATACCGCCAACGAGGGCGGCCACGGATACTCCCCGACTTGTCTTTGTAATAAAAATCATTCTATAAAAATAAAGTAAAATTAAGAATAAAAGTTATCAAACCAAAAATTTTACAAATTTCCAAACCTTGGGCTTGAGGTTTGGGAATTTATCCACTAGCCACAGTGGCTAGGGTTCCCTCGAACTTCTTGCCAAGAAGTCGGCCGAACGCAGTCTTGATTTTCCATATAATACACTTTGTCACCAAAATTCTTATTGGATCATCCAAAGGTATTACTGCCCTTTCCTTTAATTGTTTAAAGCTCTCCATCTCTTCAAACAATTCAGGCATGTCGTCTTGGATAAATATTTCCTCTTTTTCAAGTTTTTTAACCAACTTTTATGGCTTTGATGCATATTATTTCATTTAAAAAATTATTATAATAATTTATTAGAAGAAATTTTGTTAGAAAAATTATGATTTCGTCGAGCATGAAGCATCACTCAGCAACAACAAAGGGAAATCGAATTCGAGCATTGAAAACTAAGCGACAAAAATTCGAATTAAAATTCCCGGTGATCATTCATAGAATATGTTTTGCAAAAAACAACAAAACAAAATCCACAGACCTGAACCAAACTGGATCAAAATAGTTGTTCATTTTTGTAATCGAATTTTTTTTCTATTTTTCAAACCGAAACCGCTTAATTTTATTGTTGTTTTGTTTTGTTTGAGTTTCATCATCTTTAAATCATTTCAACAACAAAAAACATTAAAAAATTACAAAAAAAAATTGAAAAATGGAAATGATTAGAACCAGTACTCCGGTACAACGAATAAAATTTCAACGACAAAAATCAAATAATGAAAATATTGTTGATAATAATAATGTTAATGGTAATGGTAATGATGATGAAAATTCCAAACCATCGTCGCCAATATATTTGACCATCGAAGAAGTATTCAATCGTTATCCATTGAAAAAAGAATTGATACGTGTATCAATTTTTGCCATAATTCAATCATATGATAATGAAAAAGGTATTTTGACCGTTATGGATCATACAAGAAAATGTTTTGCCATTAAATTCATTCGACCAATCATTCATACACGGCCAAAATGTGTTAATCAATCACCTCGACTACCATTACGTACTGGTGATATTGTTCGTATAACTAGTCTATTTTTATATGAAGATTTTAGTCGTCGTTGTAATAATGTTGAAAATATAGTTGTTTTTGAATCATTTAAAAATGAAATTTTTAATCCATTTTTTGTTGGTAATCAACAAGAATTTACCGATGAAGATCATGATAAAGTTATTGAACTTACCAATTGGAATGTATCTATACTATTGGAAGCTAAAATTCGTTCAATCAAAGCGAATCATCAATATTATGTTGATTGTGCTTTCCAGGTTTTATGTACATTAAAATATGATAATCGTATTATTTTAGCCTGTTGGAATGGTTGTCCATTTCAAGATTATCAATGTATGCCATTGATAAAATTACGGCAAATTATTGATACATTGAATGAAATCAAAACAAAACCAAATGTTTATGGTGAAGAATTTATACAGAAAATTTATAATGAAAATAAAATCATATTCATTTCGGTATATGGTATACATCGTGTTGTTGCAACCGTTCTAAAACCATTAGATTTTATTGTCGTATATAATCTGTTGATAAAATCGGATAATTTTTCCTATGCTAAACATTCATACATTCTATATGATGGTATTAATTTTGGTCGTTGTATACGTTTGGCTGAAGAAAATTCTGAATTAGGTAAGTGGGTTGTTGTTGGTTGATTTGTCAAATTCTAATCGATTTTTTTTTCCATTTTTAAACTCGAAGCAATCGCCCTGAAAGCACAAATCGAAAAGAAATGTGTACTCGGTGAAACTTTTGATCCAGAAATCTATCTTAATCAATCCTTATCACAGATAATTGAAATTTCTAATGATGAAGAAGATGATCAAGATGATGGTTGTTTACCATCCAAACGTATTCGACAAAATAATCAACAACAACAACAAATATCATTTTGTTTTTCAAACACCTTAGATGATTCATCATTACTAACGAATACTATACCTTGTTTTCATAATCAATATACAAAATATCAAAAAGAAATTATTTATCGTCATTTTTATTCATCGAAAAATTCAAATTTATCATCATTCCAACGTTTAAATTCATTTGATCAGCTAATCAACCAACGTAAAAATGTTGAAAATGAATTTTTTCTTGTGGATGCAAAATTTCATAGCGTTACGTTTGGTCAACAAGATCCTATTGATATTTTTCAATCAATGTCAACACTTCGTCAATATGCATGCATAGTTTTTTGTAATGAAAATGATTGTAATTATCAGGATACATTTGAATCCTTTTTTCAAAAATCATCGGAATGGTTGACTGAAAAAAATGACCAATTGATTTATATCAACCGGGAAACCTCTTCAACCGATAATAATGAATCTCAAGATAATCAAATGATACGTTTAAAATGTCCAAATTGTCATACTGAAAATATTATTTTATCATTAGATTTTATATTAATTTTACAAGATTATGATAATGGTTTGATTGTCGTACGATTAACCCGGATAGATGCAAATGTATTTTTTAATTGTTCAACATATGATCTATGTCAACGTACCACACCATTATTGGAACAGATTCCAGCATTTTTCAAACATGCTTTTCATATAACAAATGAACAAACTGAATGTTTACAAAAAATTACATGGACATTAATGGTGAATGATCATGATCAAAATCAACGTGAATTTCATTTAGTTGATGTTTCAATAATGAATAAGAATTTTTCTGGTGGTATATCGAATGAAAATATCTAATGAATTTTTTTTTTTAAATAATGTTAATCAATGTGAAGAATGATGATAATCACCAGATTTTCCACCACTTTTATGTAACAGATAACATTCTCTAATAATCATTGATTTATTCAATGCTTTACACATATCATAAATTGTTAATGCAGCAATTGTACATGCTATTAATGCTTCCATTTCAATACCAGTTTTCCAATTTGTTTGACAAATACTATCAATAATAATTTCTTCATCTTGATAATTAAATTGAAATTTTATATCAACATAATCTAATGGACATTGATGGCATAATGGTATTAGATTACTGGTTGATTTTGATGCCATTATACCGGCAATTTTTGCAATTGTCAATACATTTCCTTTACCGATTTGATTTTGTTCAATTTTTTTCATAACATTTTGACCGATATAAATTCGGGAACGTGCCTGGGCTATTCGTTTGGTTTCAAATTTTTCACCAACATTAACCATTTTTACTTGATGTCCATCATTCGAATCAATGTGACTAAAATTACCGGATATGGATGATGATGTGGAAATAGATTTTCGTTGGTCTTTTTTGTTTTTTCAAATTTTTAAAAAAATTTTTAATTTCAACGAAAAACAAACAAAAAATAAAATAAACAAAACGTAACGATAACAGAATTTTTGGTTGCGTTTGAACAAAATAATCAATTACCCACCTATCAATATCATTGGTCGATTGGATGAATTGGCCAATTTTAATGCACCGGAATGTTGTTTTTTCTTTCGTTGTACAGCCAATCTTATTATTTTATCAATTTCATTATCATTCATACCATTACGTATAGCATTTTTTAAGGATAATTCTTTCGAATCAAATAAACAAACTTTTAAATTACCATCAGCTGTTAAACGTATACGATTACAACCATTACAAAATGGATTTGTCATTGAATTTATAAATCCAATTGTACCAATATAATGTTCCACTTGATATAAAATAGCTGTATCATTGATTGATTTTGGTGGCAAACGATTGATATTAAATTTTGATTCAATTCGTTTGATTAACTGTTTGAAACTTAGCATTTTATCCGGTCGCCAATGATTACCATCAAATGGCATATATTCAATAAAACGAATTTCTAGTTTTGAATCTTTGGTTAATTCAATAAAATCTTCAATTTCATCGTCATTTAGACCTTGTATTGGAACGAAATTAATTTTAACCGAATCATATCCTTCCGATAAAGCTGTTTCAATTGATTTGATTACTTTAGCCAGTCCATTTCGTCGTGTTATCATTTGAAATTGATCTGGATTCAATGTATCCAAACTAATATTTACTGAATCAAGACCAGCTTGACGTAATCGAGAACTATAACGACCGAATAAAATTCCATTAGTTGTTAGGGAAATTTTTTCCAATCCATTTGATTTTAATTTGGAAATATTTTCAACAATATCAATAATATCTGAACGAATTAATGGTTCACCACCAGTGAAACGAATTTTTCGAATACCAAATCTTTTAACAAATAATTTAGCCATACGATAAATTTCATCATTATTCATAAGATTCGGTTTTGGTTGAAGTTGTATACCTTCTTCAGGCATACAATAAAGACCTTATAATTATAAATGAGATAATCAGATTTTCGATCTAAGTGTTTCTACAATAGAAAAAAACAAATCTTACATCGTAAATTACAACGTTCGGTTAATGAAATACGAAGATAATCATGTCGACGTCCATGAGTATCCATCAATGGTTGATGATTATCATCATTATCAGTATCAGTAGCAGCAATGATTGTTTTCAATGCTGATTTTGTATTCGATAAGGATGATGCGGATGATGATAATGTTCGATAAAGAATCGAACAAGATTCTTTAGTCAAAAATCGAATCGAAGTCATCATCATCATTTGAGGCTTTTTTTATCAGTTTTTTTTGATCGAAAAAAACACAACCAAAAATACAGTAACTGTGAGAATAGCAAAAAAAAAATCGCAATTTCAATGAAATTTTTTTTTGGATCAAATCATGAAGAAAATTGACCGAAAAACTAGGAAATATGATTAGGATTGAATAATTTCTTTTTTATTTATTCAAATCATTGGTATTTTTTTCATCATTATTATTATTATAAAAAAGAAAAATTTCTTCTTTCTTAACGTAATCTTCTTGCTTCACGTTCCGATTCCAATAAGGTAAGAATATCACCTTCACGAACTGGTCCTTTTACATTTCGTATAATCGAACGATATGATTCATCCAAAAATTCTACACGAACTTGTGTACATTGTCCTTGCGAACCAGTACGACCTAAAATTTTTGATACTTTTGCCAAACGAATTTTATCCATATTTTTTTCTTTGTTGTTGTTATTTCAACGATTTTTTAGACTAAAATTCACGAATAAATTACATTAATAAAACTTCGAATTCAAAAAAACAAATTTGCCATTAGACTAACCTTTGAATTATCGAAGATGAAAGCAAAATCAAAGAAAATCAATCAGAAAAATCGACACGATGTCAAACAGCACAAACCGAGAAAAGAACACAGACAGAAAAAGCGTGTGCGCTCACACGGAAGTATTCGCTGGCAACAAATAACCGTTCATAAACAATGTTTTTTTTTCAAAATTGTAATTTAAAATTAAATATTTTTTTTTTTAATTTTTGTTTTAAATAAATTTATTATTTACAAATTTTAATGCTAATTATAATCGATGCTAAACAATGTAAAGGTTGTTGTTTTTCAATTTTTTCGGTAATTAATTATTTATTTATTTTTAGTAACATGAGCACAATCATATGCACCACGAATAACACGAATTTTCAAACCGGGAACATCACGAACACGTTTTTTTTGTAATAAAACAACACTATGTTCTTGTAGATTATGACCTTCACCAGGTACAAATGCTGTTATTTCTTTTCCATTTGTTAGCCGTACTAATACACATTTACGATTAGCTGAATTTGGTTTTTTCGGTTTACGAATCAATGTTTTCAATACAACACCACGCATTTGTGGTCGATTATCTAATGGATGACGACGTTTAAGTCGTTCTCTTGGACCAGCTTTATGAATTCTTTGCAGAAATCGTTCTTCTTCCCAATTTTCACGGGTACCAACAAATGGATGTGAATAAATTTCAATAAATTTTTGCCGCTCTGAATCCGATCCGATGGTTGTCGTTTTTTGAGCATGAAACGATTCAATCATCAATGAACGTTTTACAAGTTCAAATCTGCTTGTTATTACTGCGATGATTTGGAAAACAAAATGGTTAAATTAGATGATCAAATCAATCAATCAATCAATCGAAAAAAATGATAATTTACAATTTTGATTCAATTTTAAAATTCCATAATTGAAAATTTCCGAACATTTTGGAAATAAAAATCGTTGACCAACAACAACATTCAAACCATTCAATAATGATCGTATCATTTTACAATTTTTCGCTTTCGATAATATTTTGTTTTTTGAAAAAATTTGTAAAGAATTTCAAAAAAAAGAAAGAAAAAGAAAAATCACATGGTGAACCAAATAGAAAAAATTTGATCACCTTCTCTATGAATGGGACCATTTTTTGTTGTTATTATTATTTTTTTGCTGATTTATCATTTCGAACATTTTGTGTGTTGACCAAAAGTTGAAAAAACAAGAAATTTTGTTTTGAAATTTTTCTTTTTCTTCAATCGATTCGAAATACTAGAATTGAATCACGAAACAAACAGAATGCAATAGAATTTTCAATCCTGAAATCTTGATCTTGTTTCGTGAAAACAAAAAAGTTTTATTTCTGTTTGTTGTTGTTTTGTTTTTGTTTCATCATTATCATCATTACAAACATTACTATTTTTCAAAATGAGTTATCAATTATATCGTAATACAACGATTGGCAATACACTACAGGAAACATTGGATGAATTTATTCAGGTGAAATTTTGTTTTTGTAAAATCCATTTTGAAAGCAAAAATTTCATTCGATTTTTTTTCTTCAAAATAAATAGTCCGGACAAGTTAGTCCACAATTGGCACAAAAAGTTTTATTACATTTTGATAAAGCCATTAATGCTGCCTTTCCTGCTCGTGTTCGATCCAGATTAACATTTAAGGTAAATTATAAACAATAATAGACAAAAATCTAAATAACAAATCCATTTTCCAAAACAAAAACAGGCAGGACATTTAAAAACATATCGTTATTGTGATAATGTATGGACAATTGTATTGAAAGATGCTGAATTTCGTGAAACAGGTGAATTAATACAAATTGATAAGGTTAAAATTGTTGCTTGTGATGGTAAAAATACACAACAACAACAGCAACAAGCACAACCAACAAAAGAAGATTAAATGATTGAATCATTGCAGAGATTTGAATTTCGCGAATTGCGAATGGGCGCCATCATCATCATAAGAATTTATCTATCTTTTTTCTTTTTCAATTTCTGTTTCGAAAAAAAATGTAAAATTCAAAAAACTTTTCTGCATTCATTTGTCCAACCACTTTTGTTCATTGGTCTCAGAATTTTTCATCATTAGAAAATAATCATAATAAAATTTTGTTTTTTTTTTCGGGGGATTTTAAAATAAAAAAAGCGTTTTTATTCAAATCATCATTTCAGACAAATTTAAGAACATTTAAGCATTAGCATTAGGTCCACGTTTACGTCCTGGTGCACGAACAGCATTAACAAAACGTCGATTATATTGAAGACGACGTTTAGCACGACCAGTTGGTTTCTTTTTCTTTTCTTGTTTGTCAACTTTAGGTGTTTGTGCACGTACTTTACCGGCACGTGCTAATGAACCATGTACTTTACCACCCAATAATCGCAGATTTAATTCAATATTTGAACCATTTGTTAAAAAATCAACAATACGTTCATCATCATCTAATGCATGTCCATTATGATAGAGGATTTGTTCTTCACATGGAATATGATGAAGTTGTTCGATTTTTTGTTTCAATCCGAATACCAGATCATCATTAGAACATTCTACCACATGGGTACCTTGATGACGGATAAAAATTTGCATTTTTTTTTAATTCTTTTGTTTAATTTTGGCCAAAGAATTTAGAAAAATCGAAGAATGAAAACACACAAACACAGACCGAGCGCAAAAAGACGGAAGCTTTGGCTCGAAAACGTGTGAGTTTGCTCTTTGACTATTTCGACAATATTTTTTTTTTCGTTCTAAACTATTTTAACATCAACTAATTGTGAGTAAGTGCTACCATCTATTGATGAAACATTTTTTTGTTGTTGTTCAATTCAATTATATAATTCATCAAGTTTGGATTATTATCGATTTGACCGTTATATTTCGTGCTATATCGTTTCTTTTTTGTTTGAGAAAACAACAACAATCTATATACATCGATAGTGATCAGCAATTTCCAACAAAAATAAAAAAAATTGATTTTGTTTCATTTTTTCGTTGATGATGGCCATGATCTTCTAGCTGCATAATTTTCTTATTTTGTTTTTCAACCAAAAACAAAAAACAACCGAAAACAACAACAACAACAAAGGCACCGTCGTCAACAACAAAAAATTGTTGTCGTCATCGTTTAGGCTTGTTGACAGATTATTTTTTTGACAACAAAAATTGATTCGAAAAAAACAGCATAATAATTTCCTTGAAATTCTGCATTTATTTTCTTGTTTTTTTTTCGTTCGCGAACCCTGATCCAATCAATCAATCTAATCAACAAAGAAAATTTTGAACCCAGAAATCATTTCGAACCTTTAAAGATAAAGAAAACAAAACTTATTTAACTTTTCCCGATAAAAATTGAGTAAATCTTCTTTTTCTTCTTTTCGTTTTTCAATTTATAATCATCTTTTACACTTGATCTTTGTGATAATATTTTTTTGGTAAGTAATGTAATCATGTAATCATCAATTTCTTTGTTTATTTATTTATCTTTTGCCTCCTTAAATAAGTAGATATTGTTCTTATTTCATCAAACGACGACAAAATGCAATAAATAACTAATGTTGCAATGTTTATTTTTAACCACCATATGTTTTGAAGAAACGAAAAAAAAACGATATTTGTATGTGATATAGATTGATAGATTTTCTATTTATTTGTCTTTTTGAATGATTCTTATTCGGTGAAAAAACAAGAAGAAAACAAGAAAACATGATTCGATTATTACGATTCAAAACATCAACAACAAAATGGATTCTACGTTCCATACATCGATTTTCAATGTTAATTGTTGGCCTGATTTTTGGTGTTCAAGCATCCGAATTTTTAGTGATTCGCCAAGATCAAAAAGCTCGTGATTTACATCGTTTAGATTCATTAAATCTTTTATCATATGTAACAATAATGATTATTATTGTCTGTACAATATGGTTATTTAAACATAGACGTGTACGATTTTTACATGATTTTTTTCATGAAACTGGTTTAGCCATTTCATATGGTTTAATTGTTGGTGCTTTAATCCGGTATAGTGGTTCGGATACAAAAGTTTCACAATTAAGGTAAGTTTGTTTATCGGAATTTTTTTTTTTTTGATTTGAAATGTTTTTGACAAACCTTTTTACTTTTCACTTTTTATAAACAGAGTTAGTCCAAAAGATGAAGATGATAGTTCAATGAATATTACATCGGATGTACCACCAGATATGTTATGGATTACATTCGATGTACCAAGAGTTGTTTGGAGTTTACCAAATAATTATAAAATAACATTTGCAAATGAAACAAGTTTAACTGAACAAAAATCCTATGCATATATATTTAAAGGTGAATTATTTAATCCAAAAACTGATTCAACAATACCACAAAATCAACATTTCTCTGAAAAAGCAACATTTGATCCGGAAATATTTTTCAATCTAATTCTGCCGGTTATTGTTTTTAATGCTGGTTATTCATTGAAAAAGAAATCATTTTTTCGTAATTTAGGACCGATTATTGTTTATGCATTTATTGGTACGACAATTTCTTGTTTTGTTGTCGGTATTGTACTTTATTTGGTTAAATATTTAATGCCAATTACAATGAGAGAATTTACATTTTCGGATTGTCTTTATTTTGGTGCTATTATTTCGGCAACTGATCCGGTTACAGTATTGGCTATATTCACTGATCTACATGTTGATGTTAAATTAAATGCATTAGTATTTGGTGAAGCAATATTCAATGATGTTGTATCAATTGTATTGGCAAGTTTGATTGAAAAATTTAAAGAACATATATCATCCGGGTTTATTTATGCAATATCAAATGCCGCAACATATTTTTTAAATATATTTCTGTTTTCATTATTGGAAGGTGCATTTTTTGGTTGTATAACAGCATTAGTAACAAAACATACAAGACTTTTTGATCATCCACTATTGGAAAGTACATTATTTTTTCTAATGTCATATGCAAGTTTTCTTTTGGCTGAAGTTCTTGAATTATCTGGTATTATTTCCGTATTGTTTTGTGGTATTTGTCAAGCACATTATACATATAATAATTTAAGTCCAGAATCAAGAACACGAACAAAACAATTATTTGCAATGGCAAATTTTATTGCTGAAAATTTTATATTTGCTTATATTGGTGTTTCAATGTTTACATTTCCACAACATTTATGGAATACTGGATTTATATTGACAACATTTGTTGCTATTATAATTGGACGTGCATTAAACGTATATCCATTAAGTTATTTAATGAATTTTGGTGGTAGGAATAAAATTCCTACTGAATTTCAACATATTTTATTCTTTTCTGGTCTAAGAGGTTTGTTGTTTATTCAATTTTTTGTTCAGAAGTTTAATGTTGATGTTTTTTTTCCACAGGTGCAATGGCATTTGCATTAGCCATTCGAAATACATTAACAGCACCACGTCGTTTAATGTTAACAGCAACATCAATAATTTCAATTGTATCAGTTATATTCTGTGGTTGTACAATACAACCATTATTACATTATTTTCAAATAGCAACAAATGTTGATGAATCACATTCACTTGATGATGTCTTAGATCAACAACAACAACAACAACCAGGAACATCTAATGATCAACAACCAAAAGGTGGTTTTGATGGTTTTCGTCGCCGTACTGATTCAATTTCAAGTGATCTAATTACACCTACTGATGATATAACGATTACAAATCATAATCAAATATCAATTCAAAATCCAAATCATCATCAAAATGAATATGAAAAAGCATGGCTAGTACGTAAATGGTATAATTTTGATGTTAATTTTATGAAACCATTATTAACACATTCACGGCCAACATTATTGGAAACAATGCCAAAATTTTGTGAACCATTATCACGTATATTAACATCAACACAACAATTGGAGATTAAAGATGATTTTACTGGTTCCGAAACCGGTATCGAACATCAAAAGGTTAAGAAAAATCAGAATATTCTTTTTTTTAAAAAAAATAACTAAATTTTTTCCCCTACATTTCAAACAGATGAATATTATGTCATTGAATAATGAATTACATACGGATAATAATTATTATCGTCATCCTCATCATCAACAACAACAACAACAACAAAATCAAGAGGATACAAAATTAAATCCATTTACAAATCGAAAAAATTATTTTGATTATAATAATTTACAAAATAATAACCGTACTAATTATTTTCCCGCACCATCACCATCATCATCAACAACAACAACAACAATGATGAATGATGCAAATATTACCGGTAGTGGTAGTTCGACTGTAGCTGAAATCATTCCAAAATCATTAAATGTACGAAAAAAACATTCACCATCACCATCATCACAATCATCATCATCAACATCAAAATTATCACCAAAAAATGGTAAAAGTGGTCAATTAAATAAATCTCAATTACCATCGCAAAAAACAAATAATCGACCAATTTCATCAACCGATTCTACGGTATGTTTTTTACCACAAAAAATTAATCAAAGAATTTTTATTTTATTTTGTTTTTTTTTTGTTTTGTTTTTTAGTCTCAAATTTTTTTGCTTGACGATCAAAAATGATTTCATTTCGTAGTTTAATTTAAAATCTTTTGACAATTATTATTTATTTATGTATTATTGATTGGTGATACTTTTTTCGTTTTTTGTTTGCCTGTGTTTATTTTATTTTCTTTATTTATAAACATATGATTTTAGAAAAGGTTTGAAAAGTTTTTTTGAAATTCAAAATTGAATTTTCTAATTTTGTTTTTCTGTTTACAAATTCCATAGGATAATGTTGTGGAAACAACAACAACAACATCAATGGCAACGAATACGATTGTTTTGAATCCGGAACCATTATTCAAACATCTTCAATGATCGATTTCAAGTCATTTATCGATAATAACTCTTTCTCTATAACTAAGTCAATTTGGAAATTATGAATGAGATACCAATCTCAATTTTGGCATAATTTTTTTGTTTTGTTCTTGAATTTCTATTTGTTTTCTGTTGTTTGATTTGATTTTTGGAAAATAAAATAAAAAACTTACGTTGAAAAAATTTGATTTTAATAAATTTTATTCATCCAATATATATCATACACATTATGGCTACACAAATAGGCTAAAAATGATTATTATAATCAGCATCATTATTTTAAATTCTTCGAAAATCACGTTTTTCATAAGGAATTACACCAGTACGACAATCAGCATCAACTTCACGCTATATTAAGGGGGAAAAATTGAAATCAAGAATAATTCGATTGAATTGATTTACACTAACCATGTAAATAGCTAAACGATAAGCCATAAGTGTAATAGGAATATATGAAAGAAAACTCCATTTCCAGAATCCTCTCCAATTTGGTTTCCAATGTTCATAAATTGATGCACGCATAGCTGAATATCGACTGACAGCAGGATCCATCTATTCAAGTGAGAAAATATCAATAATAAATTGATGTAAATGAAACTAGAAAAAAAACGAAAAAAATTTACCATTTCAATATGATGAGATAAACGATATGGATTATAAAAAACACGATTAAATTCTTGTTGAAGTCGTTGACGAATCTCTCGACGTTTCATAATTTTTTGCATTTCTTCGGGACTTTCCCAAAATTGTTTTTTTCCGTCGGCCATTTTTCGTTTCCAAAAAATTTCAAAATTACGAAACAAAAAAAAAATCAGATGTTAAATACCGAGAGCTTCGAAAACAATTCAATGACATCGATGACGATGAACGAAACTATCGATTATGATTTTCGACTATTTCGATAGTTTCGATTTGATTTATCATTTTTTTATTTTAAAAAAATCAAAATAAAATCATTTTTTAAAAAATTTATTTACATTAAAATTATTTTTGAAATAAATGATTGATTGAATGAATTATGTTTAATAATAATGAGCGAAAAAAATGATTAATCATCAATATCATCATCGGCTAGATCAATGTTTCGATTAGCTGATTCTAAATCTTCGGTTGCTTGATCAAGATCTTCAATTTTGCTAGATTTTAATCGTATTCCTATTTGAAAAAAAAACAAATAAATTTCAATAATAGAGAAACATGATTTCAAAGGGAAACGTACTGATTAATTCAGCAATAGCAATCTGTGTTTTTCTTTCCAATTTATCCATTTTTTTAGCTATATTTCTTTTCAGATCCCAATCAACTTTTTTCGGTGCCAATTTTGTTAGATCCTATTTTGTTATATTACAGATAGAAAAAACAGATGATAAACAACAATGACAGACAATAGAACAATGGTGAAATCTTTCAACTTACAATATCATCGACAAGTGCATTATTTGATTTAGCAATTTCCAATTCATCTGTCAATTGATCTTTGACTGTTATTGTTTTTTTTTCAATCAAAATAAAATTAACATTATTTTTTCTTATTGGATAATCGGAAAAATCAATTTCTTACCCATTTCAGGTCTTGCTTTTGGCAATGAATTTTCCTGTAGACTTTTATCCGATGGATTATAATTACGAAATTTCGGTCTATAACGATATTGAAATGAGTAAAAAAACCAAAAAAAAGAAAATAAACATTCGAAAATCTTTTTTTCTTACTTTGGCAATTGAATCGAATTTTTCGTTTCATTCGAATCGAATGAATTATTCAATTTTCGTTTATTTCTTAATTCATCAAGACGTTGTTTTCGTTTTAATGCTTCTTCTTCCATTGATCCGATCATTGTTTCTTCATTATCCGACATTATTATCAATGTTTGGCTAAAAAACTCTGCAAATTATCAAACAAATGAATTTTGAAAAAAAAAATGTCAAAACACAAAAAAATGTGTGCACGCTTGCTGAAATAGTTTTCGAACGGATACTTTTCGTGTATAAACAAAACGCCTCTGATCATTTGTTTTTGTTGTTCAAACGCGTTTTTTCAAATATGAATTCGGATAAAAAACTTTTCAAAGAAAAATGTTTAGAAATTGTTCAAAAATATATTGAAGTTTTTGACAATAATGATGGTAAGAATTCAATCAACGAATTTCTTGAAGATTGTCAATATTTAACCAAATCATATTATGAAGATTTAAATGAAGAACGTGCTACAATTGATTTATGTGGCTTTACATTATGCAATAAACATTTATCAAAAACCGTGAAAAAACAATTCAAATCAAAACAAAATTATCATATTCATAATAATAAAGTATATGATATACGGAGAAGAAAGAATTTTTGTTCTGACAAATGTTTTCGACAAAGTGAATTCATAAAAGATCAGCTATCAGATGAACCGATTTATTTGCGAAAAACATCAACATCATCCAGGATAAAATTATATGATGGTCATAATGGTCAACCTGGTGATGAATTTAAACTAAATGATGAATTGATAAAATCGTTGAAAAATGATTCGAATAAAACTAAATCGAATGAATTGAGAAAAAACCTATTGAAAAATGAAAAATCAATCGAATCCAAATTATCAGCACCATATTTAAAAGTAGAAGAATTTTCCGAATTGAAACAAAAATTTACAAATTTTAATATTCAAGAAAAATTAATCGATGAAACGGAAAAATTGATTGAAAATACAAACAATGATGATGATGAATTATTGGATGAAATTGATCGAATGTCAATATCAACAGCATCTTCCATAAGTAATCTTTCAACAGTATCATCGAATACGAAAAGAAAAAAACTAAAAAAACAAAAATTTTTCGAAAATATTGTCAAACGAATATCTTCGTGGATTACTGATGATACTCGGAAATTTCTTGGAATCAATTCGGTTATGAAAGAAAATCTAATGGAAAATTTTCCGGAAATCGAATATGAAGATAATGAAAAAAGAATGGAACGATATCGATGGCAATATATTCGTCTTTGTTCACGATTAAATGAAGAAGAAATTGAAGATGAAAAATATGATCGAATGGTATTACAAAGTAATGATAATAAAAAACAACGATCAAAAATAAATGAAAAATCTGTAATCAAAAAAGAAGATACGAATGATTTACCATCGGAGGATAAACTTTGGAATTTTTTCACTTGTCCCACCATTTCTACGGAAAATGATGATGTAGATAAAAAAATGAAAAAAGTTCGTTTCACCGATGATACAAAGGATGATGATTCGGAACAAAAAAATAACGATGATAATGAAGAAATCTTTTTCCTACCACTAAATGATAATCAACATGCAAATATAAAAAGAAAACAATTATTTCTTCAAGAAATTCATACATTTTTACAAGAAATTTTGGAAAATCATGAAATTGAAAATAATGTTGAAATTTTCAATCAAATACATTCACTGATTCGAACGTTTGATTTTCAATCGGAAACCATTGCATTGGGTCGAAAGGAAAATTTTCTGGTATCAATTTTTCTATTCAGAATTTTGCTTCGATATCGAATACTGGATAAATCTGAAAACTGGGAAACCGTTTATCGAACAAATATTTTCATTAGTAAAATTTTTGATCAATTCCATTTGACATTCGATTCTATTGATAAAAATATTGATAAAATTTTTTCATAATTTACATTTTATAATAATAATAATTTTTTAATTAACTAATTCCAAATAAGCGAATCAAAATCAACAACCGGTTCAGGTAATAAGGAAAGAAAATTTTTTCTGTTATTCACATCTTTTGTTGTCATCACTGATTGATTATTATCATCATCATCACCACCGACATTATCATCGTCGTCGTCGTAATCACCACAATCATCATCATCATCATCACATATCATATGTTGTAAAATATTTTCCAATGGTTTTTCATCTGCAAATTTCAATGCAACTTGATGTAATTTTTCAACAAAATCCGGTACACCTCTTGCTGCCATCCATGCATATGCTGGTGATGGAAATGATGCACGTGGATCATCAAAATAAGTCAGCATAAATTCAAAACCAGGTTTATCAAATGTTTTATGTGGTTTAATAACCATTTGTGACATATAATCATAAACACGAACTTGTTCATTACTTTCAATAATATTTGAACTATTTCTTACTGAACGTGATATTAAAACAATAAAATTTCGATGAAAATCAACAATCGATCTTCGAATATAAAGATATTCACGATTCATCATGGGATACTAAAATGAAAAATTAAAGAAAAAAAAACTTATAGATTTCGGATTCAACCAGAAAACTTACCGGATATTTCATTATCCAATGTATCAATTCATTACCCGAATCATATAATTTACGATTCGATCGACTATTTTTACCTAATAATGATGATGATGATTCTTCAACATCAATTATATCTAATTTAATAACAAGCTTATCCCATTTTTTACGATAATCTAAATCTTTTTGTACAGCATAAAATGAATATGCTGATATATCATCAAATGATCCGAATACTGTAGGAAAAACAAAAATGTAAAATCAAAATTTTTGAAATCAAAAATCAAATTTTTTCTATTTACCTTTATATTGATAAAGTGTACTATTATCGATTGATTTACGTAAAACATAAAAATTTGGTCGTCTAATGATTTCTTCCCATTCGGTAATAACAGTTGTATTAATATCGGTAGCTTTCATACAATTTACAGCCATAAATGATGATGATGATTGATCATCATCAGGTTCATTCGTTAATTCACATTGTTGCTGCTGTGGTTGTGGATTTTGTAAATTTTTATCCAATTGATTTTGTTCATAATTTTGAATAAAATCTTTGATTAATTCTTCAAATTCATCATCATTAATACGTTCTTCATTCCAATTGAATGTTGAACAACAAACAGCTGAACTTAATATAAACATACGTTGAATGAAATATTTTTTCAAATTAAATTCATTCATACGAATCGATTTGAAAAATTTTAAATTTTCAAGTAAAATTTGTAATTCACTAGGTGAATATAAACGACGATATAGATGACATATTTGAGCAATACGACGTAATTGTAATGATAAATAAATATTCATTTGTATTTGTAATAATTTTATAAATACAATCATATTATCATAGATTTGTTCTTTTATTTTTGTTGTTTTATTCAACCATTTCATTAGTTTTATATTATTATTTTCGATTAATTTTCCATTTTTCAACGATAATAATGATGATGAATTTTTTGATAATTTCGAATAATAACTACCGTTTAAATTCTGAAACATTCGAATATTTTTTGGTATTTGTTGTTTAGTGGTCATAAATAATCTGTTGTACATATTTATTGATGATGCGATTTTTCCTGATAGAAACATTTTGTCGACATTTATTCATAATGATGATAAATTTCGGATGATAATTCGAAAAAACAAAAACAGAAAATGTTTTCACAAAAACTTACAATTCATGCAAAATGGCACAAATGTGGGCCATAATATCACATGCTGCAGAAAAAAAAACGTAAATATGAAATTTTCGTTGCTATTTTTACAATTGATTATCATTTTATGTAGAAATAGAAATAGAAAAAAAACTGTTGCTCAGAATTCTACACTCAGAATATTCTTACATTCGATTTGTTTTGTTGAATATTTTGTTTTCAAATCATGTCGATGACCGTCGAATATCAATTAATGAAACAACTTGATTTGGAAGATGAAATCGACAATCATTCATCGAATGATACAGAAAAATTGGTTATAAATTTTCTGAATAAATTACAAGAATGCCCAATTGTAATTGAAGATAATTTTAAAGGTATTTTTTTAAAGGAAAACTTTTCAAACATTTTTAATTTGGAATCTTATTTTTTTCCTTAGACCTTGAATGGATCAATGTATCTGAATCTTTGTCGTTGTCGAAAAATTTCAATGGATTAATTACTGTTTGTGATTTTTTTACTTATTGTTGTATTAATTGTCTACATATATTACCTTTTTTACAACGAATCGAATCGAAATATATTGAAAAAGAAGTTCTATTTTTAGGTATTCATTCACCTAAATTTGAAAATGAAAAATCTTCAAAAAATGTTATGAATGCTGTTATTAGACATGATATCACGCATCCAGTTTGTAATGATCCAGAATTAAAACTATGGAATCAATTATGTATACGTTGTTGGCCTACAATCATAATCATTAGTCCAAATGGTGAATTATTGTTCACATTGATGGGTGAACTAGCCATACAAAATAAACTTGAATTTTACATTGACATTTGTCTAAAATATTATGGCCAAAAAAATCAGCTTTTCATTGAAAGAAAATTTTCTTTACCAATCATTAATAGTCAAGATCAAAGAAGTGCAGAATCAAGTCGTTTAAATTACCCGACCAAAATTGCCGCATCAATCGATGGAAAAAGACTTGCAATTGCAAATACTTTATCTAATACAATTATTGTTACTACAGTTGATGGAATTATTGAATTTATAATCGGTTCATCAAGTGTCGGATTTCAAGATGGTTCATTTGAACATGCTTCATTTAATCATCCACAAGGAATAGCATGGATCAATCAAAATGAATTCTATGTCTGTGATACGGAAAATAGTGCCATTAGAAAGATTGATTTAATTTTACAAACAGTTGAAACCGTTACAAAATCACTGAATTCACCTTGGGATTTAGTATTCAATCCGGATGATAATCGTCTTTATATTGCTGTAGCTGGATCTCATCAAATTTGGACATTGATTTTATCCAAACAAGGTGATATAATTCATGGAAATAATGTACAGTATTTATCATGCATATGTTTTGCCGGTGATGGTAATGAACAGAAACGAAATCATCGTAATCTTTTAAAATCAAGTTTTGCTCAACCATCCGGCATTACCATAAATTCTAATATTCTATATATTGCCGATAGTGAAAGTTCAAGTATTCGTATGATTAATTTACAATCAAATTCAGTATCAACTTTGGTTGGTGGTAGTATAGATCCAACTGATTTATTTGCATTTGGTGATATTGATGATATTGGTTCAAAATGTCGACTACAACATTGTATGGGTATATGTTATGCTAGCAATGATATTGTTTATATTGCCGATACATATAATCATAAGGTTAAACAAATTGAAATTGAATCGAAAAAATGTCAAAATTTGACAGTGAATTGGACTGAACATAATGATGATGATGAAAAATTCAATGAACCAAATGGTTTATGTTTTCTATACGATCAAAATGTTTTATTAGTTGCCGATACTAATAATCATCGTATAGTTTCGATTGATTTGAATAATAATTTTAATGCAACGATTTTTTCCATTATCGATTCGATCGACGATCAATCAACAACTGATGAAGCAAAATCAAATCTTAATAACAACTTGAGTTCAAATGTCAAAACTATTATGGAAAAACCTTTAAAAATATCATACAATCAAAAAATGAAAATTTTATTACGTTTTGACTTTATCGATACTTTAAAAGCGGATACCAATGCTAAACATTTGATTAAATGTAAATTATTGAAAAATTCATCTGTTGGTCTTTCGATAATATCCGACAATAATATTCGAACAAACAATCTAAATAACATTGAATTTATATTACAATGTACAACTATGACGACCGGTGATTATCATTCCGAATTATTATCCATTGAATGTAATTTAAATCTATGTCATTTAAAAGAAAATTTTTGTACATTACAAAAAATTTTGATAAAACAGCCAATAATTATATCGAAAGATGATGTTGATGATAATGAAAAAATTATTTTTATTAATTTATAAAAAAATTATTAAAAAAAAATTACAAGAATTCATTAGGTAACATATTCTGTGGATTATTTTTCATTTTGTTTGTTTTGTTTATAAAATTGCCAGTCACACATGTTGAAATGACAATTGAAAATCGTTTTTTTTTCGTTTATTTTTGGAAATATAAATTGAAAAATGTTGAATAAAAACTCGAAAAAAGGATTCAAAGAAAAAATTGTACAATATTACATTGATTTGATAAAGGATGAAGAATCATCGAATGAAAATTTTTGGAATGAATTTTTTCTACTTAAGGTCTGATTTTTTTGATTTTTAATTTGATGATTTTGATTTTTTCAAAGTTTCAATCCGTTTTTTATTTTGTTGTTGTTGTTCATAGGCAAACGGAACAGCATTAAAACAAGAACTGGATAAAATTGAAAACTTCGATAATGTTAAAAAAATTGTTAATATTTTGTTTGAGAAAAGTATCGAAGCATTACAGGATTCGAATCAATTACGTATACTTAATGGATTGGTTGTGAGTATATTCAATCAAATTTTGATTGATGACCAGAATTTTGATTATGGATTCTTTCTTTCATTCATTTAGACATTATTTACAATTTCACATCATATTTTTTTTACATTAAAATCAAAAATTCAATCCACAAACGATGATGGTGATATTCCAGTATTTCTTTGTGATAATGATGAAAATTCTCAACGTATTCGTGAAGTATACCAGATTTGATTGTGTTATTCTGTTCTAATTTTTTGCTTATTTTTCCAAAAAAAAAGGAATTTGTTGAAAATATTTGTCTTTTATTGTTCAACGATGATATACATTCCGGTTTGAAAAGTATTTCATTAAAATTATTGGCAATAATAACAACAGTAATTAAGAAATTCATTACAGCAAACGAAGAGAAAATCTAATTATTTTTCTTTTTTTTGTTCAAAGAGTTTTAGTGATATAAATTCAAATAGATTTTTGGAAAATTTCATGTCCAATCATCGTATATTTGATGGTTTAATGAATTTATTCATTTCGGCCAATTTGAATCATTCGATTGCGGATAAACAACAACAACACCAGGATGAACTATGGATATTGTTAGTGTTGACAATATTTTTAAATTATCAAAAACCAAATGTAAGGTTTTTTTTGAAATTATCATTTTTGAAATCTCATTAATTTTTCATTCATTCAACATAGACAAATCCATTCATGATAAAATTATCAATCGTTGACAACGACATTGTCTTGAACGTAATTTGCCATTGTTTTGTTTTGTTTTTTGTTTTTTTGAAGTAATTTTTTTCTAACTAACTTCAAAAATAGAGATATTCAAGAACAATTACAAATCATTTAATGCAATCAATCATCAAATATGATCAATTGATTAATGAAAATAAAACTGGCCTGTTTTCATCCATTTCTAATATGGTAATCATTTTTCTTTGATTATCCTTGATTTTTCATTTTGATAATTCATTCAAAGGTTGGTACAATATTTTCGAATGAAGATAATATCAACAACAGTACAATAGTGAATGGAATAACAAGTAAAAAATTTCCATTTCATATTGTAAATTTAGTTTTACTTGCATTATATGAAGCTGTTTCATTGAATCGGAATTTTATTTCCTTATTAACTACTGTAAGTTCTTCTTTACGGGAATCTCATTTATCATCGCCGGTGTTAATCTCTCTTTTTCTATATATTTTTGTTTCTGTTCATCAAAGACATTAACCGATTTACAATCAGACAATGAAAATGAATCATCGGATAATAATAATGTTATTATACAGAATAATTTCATCGGGATTATACCAACAAATTTATTGGTAACATTTTTGGAATTTTCTTCAATCATTATGCTCGGTATAAAAGGTTTGAATCTTAATCTCTAAATCTTTCTCTTTCTCTCTCTCACTTGAATTAATCGATTCCATCCAAAATATGTTTCTATATAGACGGTGCAAACACTAAAACCGCAAGACTTTGTTTTATAATATTAACCTGTATTACCGAGGATGCAAGTGCCAATTCTATTATACATGATAATAATATGTCATTTATAGTGAATTTACGGCGAATGGTAATTTGAAACTATTAATTATTATTCACTGAATAAATTACTATTTTGTAATCTCTAGCCAATGCGACATAGAAAAGCATCTATGGAAAGAAATAAAAATGTATTACGTCCAATTTGTCATACTATCATGGATTTAATGATTGAATTTATTCTAACACATTTAAATCGTCAAACAAATCAAGAATCATTTGGTTTTTGCCTCGGTATTGTGCAACGAATTCTTTGCTTTCAAAAACGTTTTAAAGTACGAATAAATTTTGATTGGAAAGAATTATGGTCATCATTAATATTGTTGATAAAATTTTTATTAAATAATGAAACGTATTTTTTTAAACAACAATCACAATCAAACAATGGCAATATTAACAATATGTTTGCCGTTTTACAACAAATCATCATTATATTCAATATTTTTATACTTTATGGTGATAATTTCCTACATAATGATCATTGTTATGATGAACTTTATTATGAAATAATACGTATGCATACTATATTTGATAATCTTAATTCATTTGGTGAGTATTTTTTTTATTTTTCTAATGACACCTACCGGTTTTACAAATCAATCAATCAATCAATCGATTTCTGTTTTTCTCCATTTCCATTATCATTATTCTAGCCTTACGTCACATGACAAAAGAAGATGCCAATAACAAATGTAATAATAATGATGGTGATGATAATAATCATAGTTATAAAGAAGAATCAAATAAATTAATAAATAATTTAATAAATATAAAAGCAATTATAGCACATTTAAATATAAAATTAGAATTATATTCACAACAAAATAAAATTATAACATTATCCGAACAACAAGTATTTGATATTGTAAGAAATAATTATGATACATTAACATTAAAATTGGTAGAAAATATTGATTCATATGAACCATATAATTTTGCTAAATGTAATGAAATTGAATTTTTTAATCAAATTTTACATTCGATAATTGAAGATTTAACAACGCAAATATCAAAACCACCACAACCATTATTCACTATTGATTCAAATGAACAACATAATCTAATTCAAGAAATACAAACAATGTTTTCCATTCAAAACAATATTACAACATTATGTACGAATGATAATGATGATACTGCTGTTATTCCATCATCTCCAACTGATATTATTAATTTTAATGAATCAATTTTATCATCATCAACAACATCTTTCGAATGAAGATTTTCCTGATTTTGAATGATTCGATTTCATTTGGTTTTTTGTCTTCTCCATAAAACACATCTATTCACATCACAAGAATCATTCATTCATTCATTCATTTTCAACGTCAGAATAAACGTAAGAAACAATATCCAATGCCATTTTTCTCATTTAATTCTCAATTGGATTGCCAAATCACACACACAAAAGTACAATCATCATTATTTGTCCTATTCTGGAGGATATACTCTCTCTACTTTAACGATAATATTCCGGTATTTATTTTTCCTATTTCTCTCTCTCTCTCTCTCTCTCTCTCTCTCTCTCTCTGATCTGAAATGTTTCCGTTGTTGTTGTTGTTGTTGTTTTATCTTTCTTTTTGTTTTTGTTTTGTTGTTGTTGGCACCGTTATTCCAAATGGAATCGTCCAATATATAAACATTTGACATTTATTTTATTTTCCCGTTGTTAGTTAGTTTTTGGCAAACATCCTGTATTGAATCACTGATTTTTTCTTTTTCTTTCTTCTTTTCTTACAATAGACCAATAACAAAACAAAACAAAACAAATACAATGTATATGGGTGATTTTCAAATCAAAAACAACAAAAACAAGGACCATTTTTGTTTTGTTTTGTTTGATGTTCTACATCATCTTATACAACAGCTGTATTCAGATTCTGTTTCATCAATGGATTGTTTGGATTGGCAGGATGGACACTTTCGAGCCCATTTAACTAATCGATTACAAAATGTATACGGAAAGAAAAACTTATTGAAAAGATTGGTGGTGGTGGTATGATCAGCCCAACAAAAAACGGATGTTATCAAATTTGGAAAAGATGCCATTTTTCGTTTTGCCATATTTTTTACATACGCCACATCTCTTTTGTCAAATTTTTGTTTTTGTTTTTTTCGTTTGTTTTTTTTCCATAATTTTTTTCCAAACAATAAAATTTCAAAGAAGAAAATTTCAACCAACAAAAAACATTTTTTTTTGATTAACGTGAAAATTTAAATTTTTTAGAAAAAAACAAAAAAAAATGAATAAAATTAAATTTTTTTGAAAAAAATTCATTGAAATTCAAAGAAACAAAATTTACTTTTTTTGCTTTCAAAGTTTTTTTTCAACGGAAAAAACATTTTCTTTTCTTTCCAAAAAAAATCTCTAGTTTCATTTGATTCAAATTTTATCTTGTCACATTCTTTTCTGCTTTTTCATTCGGGTAATTTTCTTTTCTTTAGCCTGTCATATATGGTTTGGTATAATAATAATAAGCTGTTATTATTATTTAGTGTATTTTGGCGAGTTGCGAGTGTGTGTAGGTTTGATTTATTAATATTTATGAATATCAAAACCAGAAAAGATGAAGAAAAAGAAAAAAGGAATATTCCGAAGAAACAAAAATAAGGCAAACAACAACCGAAAACGAAAANTTGTTGGCACCGTTATTCCAAATGGAATCGTCCAATATATAAACATTTGACATTTATTTTATTTTTCCGTTGTTAGTTAGTTAGTTTTTTGGCAAACATCCTGTATTGAATCACTGATTTCTTTTTTCTTCTTTTCTTTCATTTTCTTACAATAGACCAATAACAAAACAAAACAAATACAATGTATATGGGTGATTTTCAAATCAAAAACAACTACAACAAGGACCATTTTTGTTTTGTTTTGTTTTATTTTTTTCTACATTTTTATCTGTAGCAGCTGTATTCAGATTCTGTTTCATCAATGGCAGGATGGATGGACACTTTCGAAGAGCACACATCCATTTAACTAATCGATTACAAAATGTATACGGAAGAAAAACTTATTGAAAAGATTGGTGGTTGTTCTTATTGTATGATCAGTCCAAGAAAAAAAACGGATGTTATCAAATTCGGAGAAGATGCCATTTTTTCTCTCGTTTTGCCATTTTTTTCACATACACAACACATCTCTTTTGTCAAATTTTTGTTTTTTGTTTTTCAAATTTTTTGTTTTTTTCATATTTTTTTCCATAATTTTTTTCCAAACAATAAAATTTCAACTTGAAAAAAACATTTTTTGATTAACGGGAAAATTTAAATTTTTTCGAAAGAAACAAAACAAAAATGAATAAAATTAAATTTTTTTTTTTTTTTTGAAAAAAAAATTCATTGAAATTCAAAGAAACAAAATTTACTTTTCTCTACGGAAAAAACATTTTCTTTTCTTTTCCAAAAAAAATCTCTAGTTTCATTTTGATTCAAATTTTATCTTGTTGTCACATTCTTTTCTGCTTTTTCATTCGGGTAATTTTCTTTTCTTTTCATTCTTTTCTGGCCTGTCATATATGGTTTGGTATAATAATAATAAGCTGTTATTATTATTTAGTGTATTTTGGCGAGTTGAGAATGTGTAGGTTTGATTTATTAATATTTATGAATATCAAAACCAGAAAAGACGAAGAAGAAGAAGAATATTCCGGAGAAAAAAGTGAAAAACAAAAATAAGGCAAACAACAACCGAAAACGAAAAAATATACCAGAAAAATTCATTGTTTTCTCTCTTTCTTTCTTTCCATATATTATTAGATTAACACTTTAATGTTTTAACACGTTCGCTACCGGTGCTTGAGAAAAAACACATTGAACAAAAAGCAAACGCATATACATGTATACGTAGCTGGTAGTGAACGTGTTAAGTTTTACTTTTTTTTCAAATTTGCACTTATTATAAGATCCACTTATACAATACTATTATTATTATATCATCAAATAATGGATTCGTTTGGCCAAATTTTCTCTACATCAGAATCTTTATCCTTTTTTCCATCCATACCTAAATGATGATGATGATGAATACTTGAGATTCATCTTTTTTTTGGGTAAATTTGCATAAACAAAGCAAAAGAAGAAAAAGAGAAAATGAAAGGGAAAAATGATATTAAATGTAACGAATTGGAATCCATTTTTAAGCATCACTTTTTTTGGGTGAATGTTGATCAAATATAAACATTCATCCATAGTAAGTGTTTAAGTAAGTTGGTGCAGACAATGTTTACGAAAAGAAGATCGAGAAAAATCAGAAATCAGAATTCACCATGCTCCGATTTTCTCTGTTTGCTTGTGTGGCCAGAAAAACGAAACGAAAATCAAATTTTCAATTTTTTTTTTCACAAGTTTGAACATCATCGATTACATCAGTGTTTAGTGTTTACCGCAATAGATTCATCACAGCAGCAGCAGCAGATCGATCAAGATCTAATCATTTTTCACGAAAAAAAAGTTTAACAGCAACAACAACAGCAAAATGCGTTTGAATAAAAATCCATTCGAAATATTTGGTAAGTTGTTTTACTGCCAGACAGAAAAATATTTATTCTTTGGTTTCTTTATATTCATATTTTGTGATTGCAACAAGAGAAAAAAGTTTCTTGCAATGAAGATGATGTTATCAGTCATTTTTTGGCTGCTGGCAAATTTATCGTTTTTTTTTCTTCTTCAGAAAATTCTCATTCACAATTTCTGATTGATTGGTTTTCACACAAACACACAGACAACAGAATCCACGACAGAATCCACATACAGAGAATCCACAACAGAATTCACACACACACACACACACACATTGACTTGGTGGGCATAATTTAATATCGACAAAACTTAACTTTGAAAACGAAAATTGGAAACAAAAAATTCAATTTTCGTTTTTGGCTTGTTTTGTGTTTGTTATTGCTGAATCAGTGTTTGTTTGTTTGTTTCCTTCGTTATATTTCTTCTTTTTTCTGGTTTTTGGAAATTATTTTTCTTTGGAAGTTTTGGGTATTAAAATTTCATTATTTTTTTTTTGTTGCTAATATTGTTTCGAATGGCCTGTTTTTTCTCTTTTTCTTCTTCTTCGATTATCGATTGATTGATCGATCGATCTATCGATTTTTTTTCTATCTGTTGTCGGTTGGTTGTTATTGGAAGTTTTTTTTTCTAGTTCAAAATCAATAATAATAATTTGTTGTTGTGGCTATTGTTGACAACAACAACAACAACAACAACAAAAAGGTAACATTGTTGTAATTATTTCAACAACAGCAAAATGGTCAAATGTTTGGTTTGGTTTGACATTTTGTTGTTGTTGTTGACAATCAACATTACAGTGAAGAAAAATGAAAAATTCCAACAACAACAACAACAACAACAAAAGAAAAGAAAACGATTTTCGCAAACCTTACCTGTGTTTTTCTTTCACCTATTATTAAAAATGCTGAAATGATGAAAAAAAAATAATGAAAATGAAGGAAGCCATTGAACCACTTGCACCACCATTATTGTCATCATCATCATAATAATCACCATCAAAACAACAATGACAAAAATGAGAATTGAAAAGAAATGAACTATACGAATTCAATGCATCCAGAGAGAGAGAGAGAGAGAGAGAGAGAGAGAGAGAGAGAGAGAATAACGAAGCAAACAAAAAAAAATCCTAATGGATGGAAATGGGAATTTTCTTTTTTTTTTTTGAAAAACAAGAAGAAGAATATGGCCTTTATTGCCTATTTTTTTTTTNATAATCACCATCAAAACAACAATGACAAAAATGAGAATTGAAAAGAAATGAACTATACGAATTCAATGCATCCAGAGAGAGAGAGAGAGAGAGAGAGAGAGAGAGAGAGAATAACGAAGCAAACAAAAAAAAATCCTAATGGATGGAAATGGGAATTTTCTTTTTTTTTTGAAAAACAAGAAGAAGAATATGGCCTTTATTGCCTATTTTTTTTTTGCCCCTGTAATAAGAGAAACGGAGAGGGAGAGAGAATTCCCAAATAACAAACATAGACTTGCGTTGTGTGCCAACACATAGCACACACTACTGCTGGTTACCGTTATATATTTAGTCTCTCTCTGTGTGTGTACCGTCTTTGGTATACTACGGTACTATCATCATTTGATGTGACTAAACAGAACAACAACAACAACTACGACAACGACAACAAACGATGACGATCTCATAATTTGCCCTGTTCCAACCAACCGAACACCAGAATTCATTCTATGATTTTCGAAAAAAAGGTGCACGATTCACAAACACACACCGACCGACTGACTGACTGAACACTGAATTGACACATTTAATTCTATTCTAGTATTCGGGTATCATCATCCAAACATTTTCGTCGTTGTTGTCATCGTCATTTCAATATGAAATTTTTTTTGAAAAAAGGAAAAATTCAATCTTTTTTTTTCTTGTTTGATTCTATAATAACAACCATATAATTTGTGCAGGAAGCAGAAAATCAAATGAAAAAAACATTTTCCCAGTTTGAAATCAATCTTGTTTTGTTTTGCTTGTGTTTGTGAATATTTCCTGTTTCCAGAATAAGTTTTTTCTACTTTACTTTGATTCTTTCATGAAACATGAAACATCAATTTTGAATAAACTTTTTTGATGGATAAATGTTGTTGTTGAACAAGGTGAACAAGGTGTTATTTGTCATTTTGTCATCATATTCAATATTTTTACTTTTGATTTATCGATCCCCACACATCTCTTCTGTGTTCATAAAAATTTGATTATTATTATTTTGTGATTTTTTTTGTTGTTGATCTGATTCTCCTGTTTTAGTTTTTAAATGTTTTATGAGAATGTGGAAACAAACAAACAAAACAAAAGAAAAGAAAGAGAAAAAAGTGCCTAAAACATCTGTATAACTGAAAAGAAGAAGAAGTTTGCAAAAATTCATTTCAAACTTCTTCTTTTTCTCTGCCTACCTACCTACTTTATTTCCGTTCAGACTTACGGGAAAACCAACCAAAACCCGAATGTCATTACCATTGATTTTTATTTTTTACCTGGGTAAAATTCAACAACAAACAAGAAAATTATATTTTTTTTTCGATTGAAAAAGTTGCAGAAAACACACAGCGAAACACAGCAAAAAAAACACGGGCAAACAACTTTTACCTTATTTACCTTATTCTATATTCACCTAATATACCTTCATTCTTTCTTCGTTGATTACTTTTAGTAGTAAAAAAGAAAAATTTGCTGGTTATGAACTTTGTTTGTTTGTTCGCTTGTCTGTGTATAGTGTGTTTGTGTGCATAGTTTTAATTTATGTTCAATGAATGTTTATGTCGTCGTCGTTGTCTTCACTATTGTGCTATGTTCGGGTATTTTAACTTCAATGATGCTAAAGACCTGAATTGTTTGAAATGAAATGAATGAATGAACCGAGAATAGAGAATTTCATTCGATTCATTGATTGTTTGATCGATTATTGATGATGTGTAACAAAGGAAAATGAATGAATGAATGAATCAAGAGAAGAATCGAAAATTCCTTTGCTTTATTCTTTATTCTTGAAAATATTGATTCCAAGAAGAATATCATCATCATTATAATAAAAGAATATTCTTTGTTTGTTTGTTTTCTTCTTTTTTCGTTCATTTCCATCATCATCATCATAATCATAAAAAAACAATGTCAATCGAAAATGATGTAATCATCCATGATCAACAACAACAACAACAACAACAAAATAATAAGAAAAAAACAATCGGTTATGGAATAGGCAATGTTTATCATCAACAACAACTACAACAACTACGAATGGCTTCCATTAATCAACATCACCATAACAGTAATAATAATGAAAGTAATCAAGAACAGATTGAAATAGCAAATGATAATAATGATGATAATCAAAATCAAAATCAAAATAATAATCAAAATTCAATCAATTTTAATGGTAAATTTGATGATGATATGGATTGTTTATTGGTTTTTTTTTGCTTTTGTTTTAATGGAATTTTTCGTTTGTCTGTTTTGTTTTTGTTTCTTTAATATGAATGAGAAGTCTGGAATGTATTTCATCGTGTTAAACAGCTTAAAAAGAAAAAGAAACGTAAAAATAGCTGGGATTCGATTAAAGGTAAGCTTTTTAGTTAAATTTTGTTTAAATTGAATGATTGATTGATTGGAAAACGAAACGAAACGAAAAAAAACCTAAGTAAATGGAAAAACCTAATAAGATTTTACATCTTATTTTCGGTCGTTTACATTTTCAACGAATGTTTCATTAATCTTGTTTGTTTGTTTTCCCATTTTCCATTTCCATTTCAAATCGAATCGATAATGGAAATGCGAAATTCATTTTTTTTTCTTTTTTCACATTACGTCATTGATGATGATAATTTGCATTTTTACATTACAATCCGAAATTATTATTGAACATATTTTGTTCTCTCTCTCTCTCTCTCTCTCTCTCTCTCTCTCTCTCTCTTTCTCTCTCTCCAGAATAAATTCCATAAAGTTCATCATCAGTTTTGTCCATTAAAAACTTTTTTCTCCACATATGATTTGTGTTGNGTGTGTGTTTCCTCTCTCTCTCTCTCTCTCTCTCTCTCTCTCTCTCTCTCTCCAGAATAAATTCCATAAAGTTCATCATCAGTTTTGTCCATTAAAAACTTTTTTCTCCACATATGATTTGTGTTGGTTGTTTGTTTGTTATTTCCATTTCTTCCATTTAGCTTCAATCGAAAAAATGTGGATCACTTATTTTGCAGATATTTCCAAATATAGATTGGTAGAGTTTCACAGGTTTTTCCTTTCCAAAAAAATGTACATGATTTAATCAAGCAAACAATCTTTGATTCTGGAACTGATTTTCTTCCATTTCAATTCATTTCTGCATGAAGACGACAACCAAGTTGAGTTGTGATTGGGCACAGCAGAAAAACTATTTCTACCATATATATCAAAATGTAATTGAAATGAACATTTTTTTGTTTCTAAACTAAAGAATTATTCAATTTTCTACGTTTTTCGTTGTTTTAATTATTTTGACTTGAAATAAATGCTAAGTATTTTTACCGTTTGTGTGTGTGTATGGATGTTCTTGTTTGACAGAGAAGAATTCCATGTGTGTGTGTGTGTGTAAGGTGGATGTTCTTTATTTTCTAATCAGAATCGATAATCGAAAACGAACAAACGAACGAATCTTTCGAATGTAATGAATTATTCAATTGCCATTTCAGAGTTCATTCGATTATCCTGGAATTTTTCGTTTATTGAACCGGTACATTCTCGTTTGCTGATCTCTTGAGGCATTTTTCGCATTTTATCAGCAAAAACTGAAAAAGAAAAAATTATCAGCAAATTTATTTCCGATCACGATGATAACATTTTGTCTGGCGAAACGAAAAAATTGGAAAATTCCATTAAATCGTTTTTTTTTTGAAATATGAAAATATAAAAATTCATAGCTTTGAAAATTCTTGCACATGCGGCTTACAAGCACAAAATAACCATCATTTCGCTTATTTTGTTTCAATCACAAAACGAAATGAAAAAACGAAATCAAAATTGACCCCTATTCGGCAAAACACAATTTTCCATTTTGAATACTTTTTGTTCAAATCCATGACATTTATAATTCCGAAAAAAGAAAGAAAGAAAGAATTAAAGGGAAAACACACACAGCCAATTTAAAGTTTTTTTTTGATAATGAAAAGTTTCGGAAAAAATTGAAATTGAAATTTTGAAAATTTGAAAATTTTGAAATTTGGAAATTTGAAATTTTACAATAGAAAAATATAATGAAAATGGAATTTGGAAACTTTTTTTGCTTTCCCCAAAAATTTCTACAATATCCAATTGACTTGACTTGAATAACACTGAACAATAATAACACTGTGTGCGTTGGTGTTTCAAATTCATTCTCATTTCATTTCACTCATTCCCGTTAATAGAAATCTTTCATTTGCCCACACAACATTAATTTACCCAAGCCAGATATAATAAAAAAAAGAAGTAAATCTTCAAAGTTGTTGTTGTTGTTGTTGACAAAGAGCTTACCCAGAAAAAAAGAAAAAGAATCTGACCAAATGACCATCGTCTTCTTCTTCTGGATATCTTTCCAACCAACTAACTAACTATCCATCGCTAGATATGATACAAAGCTTCTTTTATTGTTATTGTTTTCGTTTCTGTGTTTTTCGTTTTTCCTATTTTGACAAATGTATTTAATTAAATTTTCACTATACTTTCGTTTCTCTTCAAAAAAGAAAAGAGCAAAAAAAAGTAATGAATTTTTTTTGTTTTTCAATTTTGTTTCAAGCTAAACAAACATTAATTAATTTGAAACAAAAATATCATCACTTTCTTCTTTCACAAAGTAAAAATATTTCCAGTTCAATGGGGGAGAGTAGTGGAGGAAAGGAGGGTTAAAAAAGAATGGTGTAAAAATTTAAATTTCCAAATTTCTTTCCAAAGAAATCATTTTTTGTTTAAATAAATAATGATGATGGCACTATTTCCACCCAATGGCACACCCCAATGGCACCCCCACCAAAAAGTTTATAATTTTTTTTTTTGTTTTTTCCCCCATTATAATTTGAATATTGTTGAATATTTCCCTTATGATGATCATTAGTTTAATTGTTATCAATTCCATATTTTGTGTTAACTGAGAAAAGATGCCCGAAGCATATTTATCTTTGGAATTTGGAAAAATGAAATGTTTTTTATTTTCCTATTTCAACCCACGCATCATTAGAACGAATTTTTTTCCCTCTTCGTTTTCATCTTTCCCCCCCAGAAAGTTTGGCAAATAACTTTTTCAAAACGAAACTAAACCAAAGCAAAATGTAACAATGTCATTTCTCTGTGTGTGTGTGTGTTTCCTGCACAATTGATTTTCAAACACTAAAAATATGTTTGCAGAACAAAACAGAGGAAAATTCTTTCTTAATAATCTTATCGATCGATAAAGAATGAAAAGAAAAATGTTCCCGAAAAGTTTTTTCCCTCACATAAAAATTTTCAATCTTTTGATTTTTCAATCGCGTTAACCGTATTTATCAAAGAAATGAAAAAAAACATTTTAAAAAGACAGAAATTCTTTTAATAGAATTTAATTGATTTTCTTCTTTCTTTTTTCAATTTCTAATAGCCCGTAGTAATAATGAAAAGAAAAAGGAATAATAAGAATTTTCCATAATCTTATTATCGTATAATCGATTAATAATATGATTATTCTGGTTCTGTTATTCTTGGTGTTTTTTTGATGGAAAAAAAACGCCAAGAATGTATTAATTTTTTTCATTGAAAATATTAATAATAATGGAATTGATGGAAATTTGATTACCAACAACAACAACAACAACATTAATATGGAATTTCATTTAGCACCATCATCATCATTCATTGACAATGATGATGATTCAAGAATTTTCCCATTCAAATATTATTTCCAATTACCGTGCGCGCATTAGCTTTTATTTTCGTTTGTTTTCGTTTTGTTCTCACATTCTCACATCATAAACATGGAATTTTCAATAGAAAAATAAAGTGAAGAAATAATAATAATCTCTCTCTCTCTCTCTCTCTCTCTCTCTCTCTCTCTCTCTATGTGTGTGTGTGTTTGGTGTTTGTATTTTGGTATGTGTTCCGGTGTTTTGGTGTTCATTTATTATTAGTTGATTAATAAATGACAAGTAAATACAAAACGAAAAAAATTTATTACCTTTTCTTTTTTTCCCTCTGTATTGGAAATAATGACCAAAAAAAGGAAATATATTAATACTTTGCTGCTTTTGTGGGTGTAAAATTGCTTACTACTATGGAATTGAAAAATAAAGAATAACGATATAATAATAGTTTCTCTCTCTTTCTCTTTGTGGATATTATTTTGTTTGTTTGTCATAAATAAATCGAACAGAGAGAAAATTGATCAGGAAAAACAACAGAATTTCTCTTTGACATCAATTTAGTTCAATAGTTTTGTTTTCCCAATAGTTTTCCTCGTGGATCCAATCTTACCATACTTATCATTTGATATCATTTATAATTTCAAAAAGAAAATGTTTTTTCATTCATTCATTTCATTTCACCATCCATGTTTTCTTCACAATATGATTCTTGAAATATTATCGTTATCAAAGAAAACTGATGGGGGACATTCTCTAGTTTTTCTTTTTTCGTTTCCTCAAACCAAACCAATATTTGGATCAATATTTTTTTCCATGCTATTATTATTATCATCGATAAATATTATCCCAAAATAAATAATGGTGGTTTGGTTTTTTTTTCATTTTGTTTTTGGGTACACAAACTAAATGAACCAAAAAGGGAGAAAAAGATGAAGAGAGAGAGAGAGAGAGAGAATAATGGTAAGATAATGGCCAAAAGAAGAAAAAAACAAAATTATTATTTATTTAAACACAAGAATATTGCATGTCAATGTTTTTTTTTATGTTTTACATTCTTTAGCATATCATAAAATGGTAATGTTATTAAATTCTTTCTTCTTTCAGTGGATTAATATTGCTTTTATTGATGTTTGTTTGTTTGTATGTACACAATGCACAAATGTTCAAATGTTAGGATTGATGGAAAAAAATAAAAATGAAATGAAATCCTTTTTATCATGTTTTTTTTTCTCGCTGATAATCCATATTGGTTTTTTTTCTCAATATTTATACCTGTACATGTGTGCTTGTCCACATTAATCCTGTGTTAATAATGAAACATTTTACCAATATCAAATGATTTTGGAGAATGTTTCATTTCATTCTTTTATTCATTTTGCTTCGCCTAATGAAAATAAGCGAACAAATAAACAAAAAAAAAAAAAAATCATAACGTTTGTTTCATAATGAATAGATGCGAAATACTTCAATAGAATTATAAATAACAAATAATAATAATAACGGGAAAAAATTCTACTTGACAAATAAACACACACAAACATACTTGACCATTTCNTCCAAATATTTATACCTGTGTGTGTGCTTGTCCACATTAATCCTGTGTTAATAATGAAACATTTTACCAATATCAAATGATTTTGGAGAATGTTTCATTTCATTCTTTTATTCATTTTAATGCTTCGCCTAATGAAAATAAGCGAACAAAAAAAAAAAAAAAAAAAAAATCATAACGTTTGTATTTCATAATATAATAGATGCGAAATACTTCAATAGAATTATAAATAACAAATAATAATAATAACGGGAAAAAATTCTACTTGACAAATAAACACACACAAACATACTTGACCATTTCTTCATTATGATAATAATTCTGTGTTCATTATCATCATCATCTTCATTATTATTCTTATCATCATTTTCATCAATGATTATTTTTAATATTGATGATGATAATTTTCATTGCATTATCGATTCACAAATGATTTTCTCTATTTTTCTGTATTGTTGACCTTTTGAAAATTCTAATAAGAATATTCTTTTCCATTGAGAAATGGATATTATGGGTTATCATTTTCTCGTTTGTTTGTTCTTGTTCTTGTCTTTACTTCGCCAATGATGATTACACAAGGAAAGCAGTTTTGCTTGTCGTTGTTTCTCATCATAATAATCATCACGCAAATTGGCAACATTTTCACCATAATCTTCTTCTACCGTTGTCGTTAATTCGCTTTTTTGAATTGACACCAAATTCATAGGATTTTTTTTCTAGTTACATGCGAAAGAAAAGAACCGAGAGAAGAAATACTTGGCCAAAAAAAACAAGACAAATTAGATTTCTTCTTCTTCTTTCACTTTTTAAACCAGTAATATTTAATGGCGGTGGTGCATAAGCCAACTGAACAACAACAACAAAAGTTACTGTCATTGATTAGTGTGACATGCAAACGACTTTTTTTATAAAGCAATTTCGAAAGTCAGAAGAAAAATTCATTTGAAATAATAACAATAAATCTTTGAATCGAAAGAATTTTGTGTTTACCTTAATTTCTTTCTTGAACCAACCAAAATCATCATTATTGATTAACGAGAATGCAAAGTGTTCGTTGTAATGCTGTTGGTGGCGGTGGTGGTGGTGGTTCATCAAATGTTTCCAAAACAAAACAACATAAAACAAGAAAAGATCCTTATTTTATATGTAATTATTATTCTTTCATTACTGACATCTTTTTTTTGCAAAGATTCATCAATCAGAATTTATTCATTCATTTCATTTCATTTGGGTTTTTCTCTCATGGGAAAAGTAATCACTTTTCCAAAAAGTTTTTGGTTGTTGAAAGTTTCTCTTTATTCACATTTCCATTTCCATTTTCATTCATCTCTTTCTTTCTTTTTTCTGTTTCCAATTTTATACATTTGTTTAGACAGCGAATTTGATGATTTGGATGCACCAAATGTACATTTTCGACCAGAAGCACTGGAAACATTATGTCAATTAACAAAATTTACTAGAAAAGAATTACAAATGATTTATCGTGGTTTTAAACAGGTAAAAAACACAAACAGAAACATTTTCATTTTATAAATATTAATGATTATAAATAATTATTTTCAATTTAAACAACAACAACAAATCAACAACAACAAATCAACAACAACAAACATCAACAACCGAAAAACAACAACAACAAATCAACAACAACAACAAACCTTTGGTTTTTTTGAATAAATATAGGAAGCACCAAGTGGTGTTGTTCGTGAAGATAGTTTTAAACATATTTATTCACAATTTTTTCCAAAAGGTGCTGATGTTAATCAATATGCACATTATGTATTCAATACATTTGATCCAGAACGTACCGGTATTGTAACATTTACAGTAAGTTTCTTTTTCTTGAAAAAGAAGAAAAAAATCATTAATTTTAATTTTGCGGCTGACATTTCTCATTTTCTTTCTTTCATTCAAATTCTAATTTATATTAATGTTTTTTTCTTTTTTTTTCAATTCTGGATGATTCTTATCAATTTTTGTTTCGGGAAAAAATTTAAACAAGGATTTTGTTATCGGTCTTTCAGTATTATCAAGAGGAACTATACAGGATAAACTTAAATGGATATTTAGCCTGTATGATGTAAATTGTGATGGTATTATTAGTAAAGATGATCTTAGTCGTTTAATTATATCTGTTTATGATTTATTGGGTAAATCAGTACAACCACAAGTTGATGAAACAACATATAAACAACATATTGATCGTGTTTTTAAGGTAACAAAAAAAAATAATTAAGGTTTTTTTCTCTCTCTCTCTTATTTTGTTATTTTGCATTAACACTTTGTTTTCATTTTGTAATTCTTTTTTTCTTTCTGTTTTGATTTCTTTCAGAAATTAGATCTAAACAATGATGGTATCGTTACATATGAAATATTTGTTGAAGCTTGTAAAAAAGTATGTATTTTTTTTTTTTGTAATTTGTAATATGAATGTTGTGAATAATTGATTCTGCTTTCAACATTTTTCTTCTTTTAAAAATTCATTAACAAACAACAGGACGAAAATCTATTACAATCATTCGATGTATTCAATACATTACTGTGATTTATTTATTTTTCATTCGAATAACAAAAAAACGATCAAAAACAAAAAAATGAAAATCTCTATCCTTTCCATATCATATTCAACAACAACAACAACAACAACAACAAAAAACAACAAACAACAACAACAACAACAACAACAACAACAACAACAACTATATGTATTCGACCTTATCTATCTATCTATCTATCTAAGCTATCTAATCTATCAGACAAATATTTTTTTGTTTCGTTTAAATAATTTAACAAGAAGGGAAAAAATTTTTTTAATAATTACCATTTGATAAAGTGACCAAGGAGGGAAAAGATTCTTTATTTTCAATCCAGACAAATTACTTTTTTTTAATAATCTTCTTCACTTCTTGTTGTTGTTGTTATTACTGGTTTTGTTTTTTGGTTCTTCATTCTGTTATTATGACAACCAACCGAAAAAGCCAAAAGAAGAATAAAGAATAAAACCCGGGGACCAATCAGCCAGAATCGAAAAATGAAAAACGACAACAAACAACAAACGAAAAACGAAACTATCATTTCCGAAAATTCTTCCGCCCAATTCATTTTTATTTATTAACTTTTTCTTTGCTTCTTGCTTCTTTTCACACATACTACACACACACAAACGACACACACTTATTTTCGTGATTTTCAAGATGAATTATAATAATGAAAATATAGTCCAAAACAAAAAACGAAAACAAAAATCAACTAATAATTTATATAAACACACACAAAAAAATACTCACTTTATGAAATGAAATGAATGTTATACACTTGAACTTTTTTTTTGGCGAATATTATTATAATGATGAATAATGAATAAAAATGAATTAAAATAAATGATGATGATTGTTGGAATATTCTTGCTTTCTTTTGGGACCAAAACAAATGACAGAATAATTTTTTCGAACAAAAAAAAAACTTGCAGAATCGAATGTTTTTTCGTTTGTTTGTTTGCCTTCCAGTCAATGAGCCACCACTGCCATCTTTTGGTCGAGTTTGAAACAATTTTTTAAAATTTTTTTTATCTTGATTTGAATCTTGGTTACAAAAAAGAAAGATTTGTTATATAAAGAAAATTGATTGTATTTTTGGCAAAATAATTAAGTTTTTTTTCAGAAAAATCTTACACTTTACACTGGTTTGGGGAGAGGGAAAAAATATGAATGTACTTAATGCTTGTTAAGTGTTTAAGAAAGAAAGAATAAAAGGAATCTATAATTAACTACAAAGTTGCAATGAATTTTCGTTTGTTTGTTTCGTTTCACAGCATACATATGGAATGTGTTGGTCTGGTTGTTGTTGTTTAATGTGATGTTAGTGTGATTGGCACCGTTATGGTTTAATTTGGTTTTTTCGTTTCATCTTTATAACGATACAAACAATCATCATCATCAAAGAATACAACAAAAACAGTCAAAACTAACTAGCAGTAGTGTAATACTTGGTTGATTAATTTAAAAAAATTTTTTTTATAGAAGGGGGAAAAACAATTCATAGAATATAGCACAGAATGAATATTTGAATGTTGTTGTTCATTTACAATAAAGATCATTATTGATGATAATGATGTTAGATGGTGCTAAATTTAGAAAACAAAACAAACAACAACAAAAATCTAGCTCAATAATCAGAGAGAATAAAAAGCCTGTTGAACATATCAGAAGAAGAATAAGAATAATTAGGGGAAAAAAATGTTCATCATATGGAATAATGATAATAATTGTTTGGTTGCACATCTATGAATTGCCAACAACAAATCATATATACATGAATGGAAGAAAGAAGATAAATTGATGATGATAATGGATTTGTAAATGCGTGTTGAAAGTTACAAAAAGAAATTTTTATTCGAGACATTATCATTATCATCTTTAATGTTTATTTATAATTATTATTATAATTTTTATTATTACAATTTTTGATGATGATAATATCAATCTGATTAAAAGTGTTTATTTCTTATGTTTTTGTATTATATTTCTTTTTAAAATTGTGTGATCAATTTTGTAATTTGTAATTTTTAATTTTGTAATTTTGTTGTAATTAATTTATTTATAAATGGCAAACTCAAGCAATAATAATAATAATAATGATTCGTTACCTACAACATCAACACCAACAACTGCGGCAACCGCAACAACCGCAACCGCAACAAAACAACAACAACCATCATTTTTACGACAAATGTCCAATGTTATAACACAAGATCAAATATGGATTGATCCATATACAAATGAACGTATTTGGATATTTAATCCAATGCATATTGTACATTTATCGAAACAACAAAAATCTCGTTTTATACGTTTGGTTGAAGGATTTAAAAAATTTAGTAATAAATGGTTTAGTCATGTTTTATTATTATTATTTCTGATTTTATATGGTTTTTTGGGTGCTTATATTTTTGTTTCATTAGAAGCACCAATGGAAGATTTGGCAAAGGTAACCATGAATAATGATTGAATGAATGAATGGATAGTGTTAATGGAATGATTTTTGCGTCTTTTGGTTTTTTTGTGTTTTTGTGTAGAAACCAATCAATAAAATGCGTGAACGTATCATTAAAGAATTATGGTGGAATTCAAAAAAATTTTCACAAGGTTGGTGGTTACGATTAGCTAAAATACGTTTTAAAGAATTTGAAAAACAACTTTATGAATCTTGTTTATCTGATCAGACAACCGATTCGGAAATAAGTAAGCATCTACTTGAATCTACATTCTTTCCATTCCATTAATTAACAATAATCTCATCATTTTTGTTTTACCTGGAAAACACACACAGGAGTATGGAATTTTTGGCAGGCATTATTTTTTAGTTCAACAATATTTACAACGATAGGTTGGTAATTTTCTTCACTAAACACAATCCAAAAAGTCAATTCAATCAATTTAATCTCCAATCTTTGATCTTTGATCTCAGGTTATGGCCATGTTGTACCGAAAACAGATGCAGGTCGTGTTGCATCAATTATATATGCATTTATCGGTATACCATTATTATTAATGGTATTAACAGATTTAGGAAAATTATTTACACGTGGTATTAAATTTATATTTAAAATATTTCGTCGTATTTATTATACAAGGCAATTACAAAAAATGCGTAAAGCAACTAAAGAACGTACACAGGTAAGTTGTTTGTTTGCTTGATTCTGTTGAAGAAATTCTTCCTATTCTTGATTCTTTACCTTAGTTTGTATCGCAAAAAATCGATGATGTTCACCGGAAGATGTCGACAGTAGTACCATTGAATAAGAATAAAATTGGAAATAATGAATCAGGACTGCGACCAACAGACGCTGATGATGGCGACAATGAAACAATACCTGATTTTGAAGTGGATGATGAATTCAATCTACCAATTAGTGTTGCAGTCGTGCTTCTATTATTATATATGATGATGGGTGCTGCAATATTTACCATATGGGAAAAATGGACATTTTTTGAATCATTTTATTTTGTTTATATATCATTATCAACAATTGGTTTTGGTGATTATGTCCCCGAACATCCGGCATTTATGATGTGTACATTTATTTATTTATTATTTGGTTTAGCATTAACATCAATGTGTATAAATGTTGTACAGGAAAAATTGAGTGCAACTTTCCAGAAAGCAAAACTACATCTAGGTGCTACAATGGGTTTAGATATACCACAAATGGTTGAAGAAGATCTTAATCAAGATAATATTTCAATAAGTTTTATTTCAACAACCGAACAATCTCAACAACAGCCAAAACCAATATTAAAAGAACAGGGCGTCGGTGATTTATTCAAAGAACGACGACAGAAAAAACGTAAAGAAACCGGTATTATGAATGATGAACATCAAAAACAAAATGAAGAAACATTGGTCAATTCAAAAACATTCAATGATGATAGTAATGATTCAAGTATGAATCGTACAAAAACCGTTGATTTTGAATGATTTTGAAATGATCGAATTGGAAAAAAGCAATCGAAAAACCAATCGAAAAACCAATCGATCGGATTTGATTTTTGATTATTTGGTGCCTGAAATCATCATTATACAATAATTCGAGCTTGTTCAAACACGCAAATGTTTGTTTCAAACGTTTCAAAATGTTTATTCATTTGTTTTTTCTTCTCTGTAAATATTGTTGTTGTTGTTATTTACTTTACTTTAGTTTAATTTAGTTTAGTCAAGTAAAGCAATGTTTTTTTCCAAACTTCAAATCAAATAATCAAATAATCATTTGTTTGCCTAAATTGCTTGTACACACACACAACCCTTTTGATTCTTGATTTTTGATTTACAAGTAAATTTTGTTGTTGCTGCTGTAAATTTTTTGGTTGTAAAAATTTCATTTCTTTTTGATTCGCCATTATCGCAATTTGATTGTAATTTGTAAACAACCAAAAAAACAAAACAATCCGAACAAACAAATTTGTTCAATTTGATGGATGTGTTCTCTTCGTTTCAAGTTTTTTGTTTTTTGTTTTTCTTTATTTTCAGAATCTTCAATCAATTCCAAAATCGATTACTTTTTCAAGTTTTATCCTTGTTTTGTTGTTTTTTTTGGTTGTTTTTTTGGTTGTTTGGTTCAGTTCGGTTCCATCAGTGTCTTGTCATCATGTTTGTTGTAATCTTTTTTTCGTTGAAACTTTTCTTTTTCTTTCTTTCTTTCTTTGGTATTAGGTTTGGAAAACCCGAAAACAACCAGGGAAAAACCCAGAAAAACATAGGAAAGATGATCGAAAACAAATTGTCAACTTTAAATTGTCGACGAGCAAAACAAAAAAAACATTATATGCAACTTTGAAATTGAAGAGAAAATTATTGGGTTCTAAGCTCTCGATTTTCATTTTCGTTGCTTTGATTTTCATTTTCTCTTCTTTACTTTGCTTTGCCTTGTTTGTTTGTATCGACAATAATTTGAATAAATCGATTGTCATTATTTCTGACAATATATTATAAAAGTGATCATTATTATTATTATCTTCTTTATCGAAAAATATAACCAAAGAAAAAAAAATGATAATAATGGTTACATGAACATTGAGAATAGAGAAAATGAAAAAATACACGAAAATTCTTTCCGAATCGATAATCATAAAATCGGATGGAACGGAAATTTGTTTTTTTCGGGTGAAAAAAAAATCCCGAAAATTTGCTTGAAATCTTGAGGAAAGAAGGGAAAAGCTTCTTTTCGGTTATTTTTTTAAAAAAATCTTTACTATACTGTAGTTCACCTTTGGTTAATGGCAAAAATCATTATGATGATGATAATGAAACGACGACAAGAAGAATTTGAAACGAGAAAATTTTATTCAGGGTTTTTTTACGAATAAAACCAATTATAAATGGATGGACCAAAAAAAAAAAGTAAAATTACTTTTTTTTGACCCATATTTTTTACAATAAGTTTTTTGTTGTTGTTGTTGTTTGAAGGTATAATTCGATCCAAAATACAAGGTTTTCCTTCCTTTATTTTCTTTGATTATACGGAATTCTACATTCGCTTGATTTCACATTATTCTTACCCCAAAAAAAAGAAGTAAGTTTGTATAAAAGAAACTTACTCATCGGTCATTCGATTTGTCCATTCTCTCTCTCTCTCTCTCTCTCTCTCTCTCTCTCTCTCTCTCTCTC